CCACCCCAGACTATCTCCTTCCATTAATATAAGATTATTATTATTTAATGTATTCTGTAAACCTTTGAAGTACTATCATGTCTAGTATACCTCTTCATCGTATCATCCTTTATCCTTGATGTTATCATCCTCTAGCTGTCCAGCACGAACGGGGCCCCAGGAAGCCGAAGCTGCCCAAGGAGCCGGCCAGCCCGGGGGAGGCGGCCAAAGGGGGGGCGGCCCCCTTCACCCCGCCGACACCAATCAAGCCCAGCCCGGAGCACCCCCCGGTCTTCGTGCCTCACCAGCCCCCGCCCCCCGGCCTGCTCCACATCCTCATGTCTGCAGAGAAGTGTCAGGTAAGTTTATATATATGTACATACTAAGCTTATAATTATTGAAAAGAAAAAAAAAATAGAAAATATTAGTAATTGTATGATGGCGGGAAGAACTCCGCAAAGGTATGATTACCAATAGCTCCGAAAGCAAAGTCCTAGTCATATTAAGAGATGAACAAGAGGACGTCCAGCTCATCTATAACGGAGAGGTACTTGAAGTTGTGCAAGAATTCATCTATTTGGGTACAATTGGGTACATGGGTACACTGTCTGGTGTACGGCCGTTTGCACTTCCTTGCTACCTTTCTATACCAAGTCATCAGAACTCAGCGGCCTTACTATATTTTTCACAGCCTACAATTCAAATATTCCATTCAATCCCATCCCACTAGATCTCGTACCTCCGACCTCTATCCACCTCCACACTGACCAGTCTCCTTCTGGAATACCATCTCTGCCGATATCCGACATGCACAATCAGTTTCCTAATTTAAATCTCATCTTTTTAAGTACTTACTCCTTTCCCAACCCGATTGATCATGAAATGTAGATAAGAGAACTTTTTAAAGTTCCCCCAAAAATGATTTTCCTTTACTTATACAATTTTATTTTCCCACGTTTGTATTATACATATCAGTATGTTTTTAGTGTAATAGTTCTATTTTTTGTTTTATTCTTTTTCCAGAATCTTAATCTTAATAAGAATTGTAAATAATTAATTTTATGTATGGCCACACAGGTATTTATTCTGTAACTGTAATTTGCCCTAAAGGGACAACAATCCCAGGATAATAAAAAAAATATTTTCATTTCATTTCAATTATCAGCAACAAGAGGAAGATTGACCCAGAAGTAGCGATTAGGATATCCAAAGCCAATCAGGTATATTACCCTATCAGCGATAGTATAGTAGAGCACAGGGAAGTTGGCAAGGAAACAAAAAGGCACACATACAAGTCAGTATACCTCCCAACCCTCACGCATGGAAGCGAAAACTGGATTATGCTGGACAAGCAAGTTAGCCGTGTCACAGCAGCCGAGATGAAGTTTCTGCGGAGGGCTGCTGGAAAGAACGTATAAGAGAGGACCTGGAGGTGGCGGAGCTAAGGACATTACTGGAAAACCGACAGTTGAAGTGGTTTGGTCAGGTTTGTCGGATGAAGGAGGAGAGAGATCCGCGGAAGGTTCTGGAAGCTCGATCCACTGGGAGGAGGCCGAAAGGCCGCCCCAGAATTTCTTATCAGGAGTATATGCAGCGGATTGGAGGCATGGCTGCATAGGATAGGGGCTCCTCGACACTTGTAATGGCACGAAGAAGAAGTAATAGTATGAAAATAATCTGCTAAGTCAATCAGTATAGATTCCTCAACATTTTTTTTTATAACTAAGAAAATTCTTATATAACCATACACTTCACTCATATTTTAATTATATTTAAAAAAAAAATATCCCGATTGAAACTAGTTAATAGTTAATAAAAAAGAAAAGAAAAAACTGTATCACTACAACCCATGAAGGGTCTTGGGTTCAGTACCATTTAGGAAAAGCACTATTTCTAGGTCAACGGTTGTGCAAGAAGGTGATTTGACCGCGATCACGCTCAACCGCCAGGTTTTCCCCCTTAATTAATTATTTAATTAAGGGTACGGTACCTACTTTATAGAGGCTGGGTTTGCCCCAGGAGGGTCCAATGAAATAGATAAATAAATTTTCTGTCATGAGCCGGGGTTCGAACCTGGGACTTTTAGCATTGGAAGCTCAGTACCCTAGCACTGAGCTACCCCATTCCCTTTTTAATAGTTTAATAAATCCCTTTAAATTTAAAAAATATTTTCTATAATATTATTGGTTTACTTATCCTTTATTTTAAATGTAGTGTTACACCACTCTGTTATTTAATTATTTCTTTTTAATTCACGCCAAACAAATGATACTTCTATGGTTCAGTATTATTATTCTTAGGGGACTATACATCCCAGAATAAAATTTACTTTTCTTTTTCTTTATCAGGATAAAAGCGACAGAAGTAAAATCAATTTCCAATCCAATGAAAACCTTATGAAATATACTTAACTAGCAAACAACTTATGATCTGCCGATCCTTTATTTAAAATTATTTTTTTGTAAAGATTTCTTGTTTAAGATGTTACTTTTTTATATATTTTTTTAAATTGTAATTATTTATTTTTTATAAACATCTTCTTTTCCGACTCTCAATCCAAGATGAATATTGGCCTCTTCAACAATGTTTCGCCATCCTTCTGTGTCCATGGCCCGTCTCTTCCAGTTGGTCACTCCAATTTTATTAACAAACCAGATAAATATTTTAAAAGCAGTATTATTTTGTTGATCGGGCTCTGCAGACCTGGATGTTTTGCCCATGAAACACCAAAACAACCCACCGCTCCAGCCAGCCTCCAGGACTAGAGAGAACTCCAGCTCTCCAGCTCCAGGGGTGAGTCAGTGGCTAAGACCGCCCCGGGCCATCATCGGCAGCTGTCCGGAGTGGGGCGGTTCCCAGGCCGCCCTCACCTGCCCCCCCCCCAGCCGCCCTTCCCCCCTCTGTTGCTTCAGCTACTTTCACACCTCAAGTACTACACGATCTCGGCCTAGTCTCCGCCGCTATTAGAGGCCTAACCTTAAATATGTTTTACTTTATAAAACATACGTTATAACGAGGCTCTTTATTGTGCGAAATCGAATAATAAGCAAGAATAGTAGTACATTAACTTTGTACATTGTAAGTTGCGTCAAGTGGTGGTAGAAGGTTTTTTTAAAGGCTATTTTATTTTTTCTTTGTATGGGGTCTGATTGACAAGCAAAATCCAAATTTTCGACCTCTGCGTTCTCCCTGATCACTAGTGTTGCCCAAATGCGAGACCGAGACGAGTCTTGGTCTTGCAAACTCAGTCTTGGTCATGGTCTTGGGTCTTGCGCAAGAGTCTCGCAACAGTCTTGCAGTTAATTATTAGCTTATTATTACAATAGAGATATTACTGTAATTTTTTGGATAGAAGAAACCTAACTAAGCCCGAATGAAAAATTAGAGAAGTTTATTGCAAAGGTATATTGGTTATATCAATTATTAACATATAGTAACTAATATTGTCAAGTATTAGTAACTATTTTGCCTGAATTTTTATTTAAAGTGCAAGACCAAGACCGATTTAGGGCAACATTAATGATTACTTTTGAATATCCGCAAAAGTGCTAAATGTTCTCACTTTTTTCGTTATTTCTCCAATTGGACTATGAGCGAGCACGTTTTTGAAAAAGGGAGGTTATTTTATAATTTTTAAATTAGACTAAATTTGCGAAACTTTATAGCAAAAATATAAAGCTTTTCAAAATTTTGAAACTTTTAGGCTATAATAATCATCATATTTTATTATTCGCTATTGTCTTTATATCTTCAATAACCACTCTGACATGAGTCAGTTAAATAAACATTATTAAACTTAATTTCGTTAAAAAATGTATAATTTTTTTCTTTTTTTTACGAAACGTGCTCCTTCATTGTCAAATGGAGGAAAACTAATAAAAGTGGGAAATCATATAAGTTTTGGGGATATTCAAAAGTGATCCTGGGAGTTGCCAAGCTTGAAAACTTGGATTTTGCATCTCAGTCACATCATAAACAAGGGAAAAAAATAATAAACCTTCTACTACCAGTTGATGCAGCTTGGACTTCTCTGTTTATAACAAGGTTACTGGACTGGATGGTAAATACCAATATCTGAGTCAGTCAAAAAAACTTATAAGCACAATGGCACCATACTTACGAAGTAAGTTAAAATTATGGATGAAATAATTATAAAATTATCTTATACAAATCAGTTACACGTCAGTTAATAATTTAATATCGCCTTCCATTTTTGGAGCTACACATTATGAGATTCGGCTTGTCTCGAAATGGTTTTTCCCTTTTTTTTTATTTTTTATTTCGTGCACTTCAATAGCTCTTTCAAATTAAGAGCTATAGGGTTAAAACTTAATATAAATAAATTTGGTATTGGAGATGTGCATTTTGGTGGTATCAACTTTTTTGCTCTGCCATCCTTACATTAAGGTACCTTCTAACTTTAATCACCTTAGAAAAAAGAAATAAATAAAAGTGAAATCAAAATAATTAAAATTAACTAATAGTTTATACACATATTTGCAGCAACATCTATTTACAATTTTATGAATGTATAAGTAGTGATTGAACAGGCGGAATTTAATAGTGGGCAGGATATTGGAACGATAGATTTAGTAAACCAACTGAGTTCTCAACACAAAACACTTAATCATTATTGGAGGTTGGGGACGGGGTAACTCAATTAATACGGCACTGTGCTACTATACTCAAGATTAAAGTCCGGCTTTGGTGGATAATTATTTATTCTGTCTCATCCGCCGTGAATCGACCCTGGGATCAGGAGACCCTTCTAGAGCACACCCAGATTCTACAAGTTAATTAAATAATTAATTAAGAGAGGAATTCTTAATTATTGTGAGTGATCCCGGCCCAATCACTTCTCTTCATAACCATTGAACTAGAAACAGTACTTATTTTCAAAGTACAGAACCCAAGACCCCTCATGGGTTATAGTGGTGCAGGTTTGATTTTTTATTTTTAGTGGTCACTAAAAATAAACAAAAAATATATAAATATTATAAAATAACATTTTGGTTTTAGGAAGTAATGTGGAACAACAAAGTGGAAACCGGACTGAACGCTCCTCCTGGCAGCCCTTCAACTGCAATGGGTTTATCACTCAGTCCCAGCTGGGAGGCGCTTCAGGTAACTTCAGCATAAATTATCTATATTAGATAATTATTGATATATTGGTATTTAATATTATAGCTAAAATATAATAGTATCTTCATATTTAAATATTATCAGTCATATCTCCCATCTTAATACTGGCGGTTTAAATGAGAGTGACTTTTAGAGGTGAAGCTTAAAATAAGAATTTTTTTTTTCATTAATTCATATCGTAACATGTTCTCTTTTTTAATTATCAATTAATTATCAATACCCTCTAATATTGTCGATCAAAAACTTTTTGCCATAGCCTAATTTTGTCAAACAATAATTTCTATTAAAAGTAGTGGAAATAGTGAAGCTTGTGTGATGCGGGCAATAGATTTTCTTACTTTCACTTAGTCATCTAAAAATGACTTCTTTAGTAAGAATAAATTATCTCATTCACCCCTTTCTGACACCAGGATATGAACTCGTAATCTTACATTGGAAATTGAATAGCTGTAACTTCGTTAATAGTTGTCCAAAATGGACGATTTTTACATGGTTTTGTAGGGAATTTCATCACCTTTCAAACCCCTACAAAATAAAAAAAGAAGCAATCTTTTAAAAGTAAAAATTGTAAAAAGTTGTATTAAAAGTTGTAAAATCGGTACAGTAGTTCCCGAGAAAATCTTGGCACAGACAGACAGACCAATGACTAAAAATGTGTTTTTCGAACTCAGGAGGTTCTGAAACGTATAGATCCGTCGAAAACCGCATATCGGAAATTTGACCCGATTGCAATACTTTCCTTATCTAGTATAGGTAGGAAAGTAAAAAATATACAGAGTTTATCCCAAAAAGAATTATCGTTTCTCTAATTACCGTTTACAAAAAATAAAGTATTTAACCTTCAGAATTGAATCCCGAATATGCTGCAGTACCTTCTAATATTTTTACTTAGGAGTTACTTGATTTATTACAATAAAACTACTACTATTAGTAAAATAAAATAAAAATTACTATCTATTAATAAATTAAGATATCCCTTGGCCTCGCAGGTTTTGAAATATAGGAATTGATCCTTATGTTATCATTTAACTAACAAATCTCTAACTTCTAATCGTGAGGAATTAGAGAAGTCTTGGCTGGATAGAGCCATGTTAGAAAAAAAAGTGGAAAGAATTCCCTTTGAAATTATTAGTTTATTAAATTTAAATTTTAAATATATTAAATTTTTTTTTTTTTTTTTTTTTTTTTTTTTATAACAATCTGTCTGTTGGACATTGGTTATAGTGAGGTAGGATGACATTCACACCATATGTACAAAAAAATAAAATAAATAGAACAAAATAATAATCAAAAGTATATACAATAGACAATAAAATAAAATAACCTAAAAAATAAGAAAATTAAAACTAAGGAAAAAAAAAAATAACATGCATACCTATATTCGGCGGTACATATACTAAAATTGGAACGATATTAAAATTAAAGATTTTTTTAATAAAATTGAATAAGCTGTAGTATAATAACATACGGATAAAAAAGGAGAAATATTGAATTTTTATACAAAAAACAGAACTGGATAATTTAGACTCCTAATAAAATTAAATAATTTAAACAAAAACTAATTCTACATTTTTTAAATGTCTGGTTTACATTGCTACAAGCGAGATTTGCCTTCATTAGATATTATTTTATTTATAGCTTCTTATTACAAAATACAAAACAAAACAAGCCAACCTAAAAAAATTATTAAATTCATTTCTCCCCGTTCGTAATAGGACATAGCCCACATAAACATATATTTAAGTCTACTATTGCTCCCTTACGTTTTGAACATCATTTACGTAGCACCCATCTTTAAATAAAAATCAAGGAATTTCTTGACCATCATTAATAGTATACACAAACAAAACTTAATTTCAAACATGATAGTAACTGATTTCATAAACTTTATTGTCTTGTAAAATAAATATATTGTTGTTAAAATAATTGGATATAAAACATTGAAAAATACCCTCCATATGTTTATTATTAACAAAACTTAAATATAAACTTTAAAATTGTTCAAATGGTGTTAACTTCAATTTATCAATAGGATCAGAAATATTTTTACCAAGGCTACAAAAATGAAATAATTAGATATTTAATTATGTTTGTAATTTTATTAACCATTTTGATATTTCACTATTTTTTTTTTTTTTTACATGACATTATTAGAGCGTTAAAGTTACTTTATCTGGTACCTATATAGTGCTTTGTTCATAGAAACTACGAATATTTAAGAGTGAAAAATGTTTTAATGTATAAAGATCTGTATGATAAATGCATATTTATTTTTAAGACTTTCACTCCATCCTGAGGAATATATTTTTCTGGAGTGCCTTCTCTAAGGGTGACTTTCCTTAAGAGGTGGCTAAAAGTCATACTAGTATAGTAAGCTACTATTGAAGTCACCGTATTGTGGCCATGCGCATGCTCGCCCCGCCCTTGGCTTCCTGACTTCTCTCATCTGATTGGTTCTGTTCCAGGAGACGACGGCACGCCTACTCTTCATGGCCGTACGCTGGGTCCGGTGCCTCGCCCCCTTCCAGACTCTCTCCAGGAGGGACCAGGTAGCCACTGCCTCCATGTAACTTTAATATAACTTTATAATAATATGCCTCCTTCATTAACTTTATAAAACAGGACTATTGGATCAAATGACAGACAGTGAAGTAAGTAATGGCAGGTACAAGGGGAAGGGAGGAGACGCCTCAAAAAAAAAAAAAAAAATTTTTGTTCATCGTTCTTTTAGTCACAGAACACTTTTTATCACATTGCTAACTTCCGGCTAACACTTCGTAAATAGCTTCACGTTATCGTAACCTACAAGTTTTCTTTTTACGATAATTCTCTCCACCTGGACAAACGACTAACTTGGAATCCTCATACTAGACTGAAACGACAAGAAACCGCACGAAGTTTCCGATTACTTCAGCACTTACTAAACAAACGCTCTAAACTTAAAATTAATTACAAAAGACTCATATACATGACTATAATAAGGCCTATTTGGACTTACGGAGTTGAGCTATGGGGCTCCACTAAACCATCGAATTCCTCTCGTATCCAATCCTTACAATCCAAAATCCTTCGTAAAATCCTCAATGCTCCTTACTTTGTCACTAATAAAATTATCCATAAAGATCTTAATGTTCCTTATGTTTCAGATCTGGGCCAATCCAGATACCTATCCTTCCATAATAAACTTCAGAATCATACCAAACCTTTCGTTTCTAACCTTGCTTCCTCTTCAATTCCTGATAACCCTCCGAGGCGTGCGAAAAGAAGATGGCCCCGTGATCTCCTAATGTAGACATATCATTAGAGTGCTACCGTTGGGTAGTTACTCAGCAAGTGTTTTCATGTCATTATATCCATATGTTCAAATTTACTAGATTATTTATTTGATACAGTTGTAAATATCATCAAGAAACTATTAAAAAAAAATTCTAAGAAATGGGTTGCCCAAATGCGAGACCGAGACGAATCTTGGTCTTGCAAACTCTGTCTTGGTCACGGTCTTGGTCTTGCACTAGAGTCTCGCAACACTCTTGCAGTTACTCATTAGCTTATTACTATAGAGATATGACTGTAATTTTTTAAATAGAAGAAACCTAAGCCCGAATGAAAATCTAGAGAGTTAAATGCAAAAGTATATTGGTTATACCAATTATTTACCTATAGTAACTAAGATTGTCAAGTATTAGTAACTATTTTGTCTTAATTTTTGTTCAAAATATCGATTTTTTTTACCAGTCCTGGTCTTGGTCTTGCAACAGTTAAGCCAACTACACAGATCGATTTTGGGCAACACTATGTGTTTCCAATCTGTAAATCGGTAAACATGTCTGTTTTAATCAGGTACTAAAAACTAATGAATAATAATTTGCTTTTCACCTGAACCGTATGATAATTCGATCAAGAAATCGAGAAAAAAGATGGCCTACAAAAAATATTGAGGCTTTTGTCCAAAATAACCTTGTTATTTTGACATGTTAAGAGTGTAGGTCAAGCAGTTATTGAAGGCCACTCTTTTTTTCTCGGTTTTCTGATCGAATTATCATACGATTAGGGTAAAAAGCAAATGAGTATTCATTAGATTTTAGTGCCTCATCTGTATCGCAGAAAAAAGGCGGATCTCCGGGGAAAAACGTTTGGGCTTAAGTCCCCAAAATGGAAAAATATAACCATGTTTTACAAAAAAATTGTAAAACAATTATTTCTAAAAGTGTTATTGTTCGTGTTGTAAACATTTGATAGGACTTCAAGAACCACTTAAACACCATTTCGTATAGGTAGTTAGTTTCTTTCTTTTCCTTCTAAAGTAATTATCGTTATATTTATAAAAAAAAAAAAAATTCCCTCTCTTTTTGAATATCCCCACCAGATCGATATAAGTCAGTCCCTCCTGAAATGACGTAAGCTAAGCACCTATAAAAATTGACAAGTAATGTTCACTGAACTTATTAATTAGAACATTAAGGATGAACATATTAGGAGGACTCATCAAGGTAATAAGCATTTGTTTTTAATTGTTAGAGTTTTAATGGTTATAGTTACGTACATGTAAGGGTTTTTTTTAATAAAAAGTGTATACCTTATGTATATTTTTATATAAATTTAAGTATATCGGAAATAATTTGACATAGAATGTTAGACAATTCAATTAAATGTAATAAGAAATTCAATTTATAAATGCTGAATATTAACTAATAATGTTATTATAATTTTACAGTTTTGAAAGTGACCCTTAGTATGGTCGAAACGTTAAATTGATGCGTAATAATAAAAGGTTGGTGAAAAATGGCCTAATTTATTGTAACAAATAAAAAAAAATATATATAAAAAAAAGAAGCTTTTGGACGAAAGCCTCCCACTAAAATACTCCCCCAAGGCCAATGCCTCAAGAACCTACCTACTCCTTCCCACTCCCAAGATATTTTATTGTTTACCTTTTCTTAAAAACGAAGCAATCGAAGGTAGAACTATAAAAATCTTAAATCATATACAATTACACTTGCTGAGGTTTGTTTTATATTTTCCCCTTGTACCTTGCATGAAAATTTTCGTTCTGGAAATTCACAACTTCGCCGAAATGTACCCCGTCAAAAAAAAACACACCAAAATATGCTCAAAAAGTTTGATTGCGCCATCAAACCATCTTCTTGGCACCCCTGACGTAACAAACTATCATGATAATACTAATTTAATTTAATTTAGGAGCGGATTACAGGGAATGACCCGTTCCAGAATGATATTTAATAAAGTTTTGAATCTATTTAATGTTAGTAAACTAACACTGTTATTTTTATTAACAGCTGCTGCTGCTACAAGACTCCTGGAAGGAGCTGTTCTTGGTGCACCTGGCTCAGTGGTCCATCCCCTGGGACCTGGGCCCGATCCTCGGCGGCCCCAAGGCCAGGGAGCGGCTTCCCCAGGACGACCCGGTCGTCTCCCTCGAGATCAACACCATCCAGGAGATCCTGGCCAGGTTCCGCCAGCTGTCTCCGGACGGCAGCGAGTGCGGCTGCATGAAGGCGGTCATCCTCTTCACTCCAGGTACGAAAATTAATTTAATAAATTTATGAAGAGAAGAATAGTTGGGGTGGTCAGTCAAAAAGGAAGGCAAAAATAAATGATAATATTTATTTTTTACATATGCCGACGTTTCGACCTGAAGTTCAGGCCTTCATCAGGGCTAAGAAAATAACCAGATAACAAGGTATGAGAAACATAAGCAGTGATGGTAAAAAAGATAATAAAAAAAATAAAAATATATAAAAAAATTAGAAAAATAAAATAGATAAATATAAAGTAAAATGAAATTGTTAGAATAATGACTAAGAACTAAGAGATAAATAATAAAAACCGTTACAAAGTGTGGAATGATGAAGTAGGCATAGTTCAAACTTCGTCGGATAACCGTTAGAGATGATGCCACAATACATCTCTTCTCTCTCCCCCTCCCTTGTAACGACTTTTATTCTCCCTGCGACAATTAAGGAGACAGGTAGTACTTCTTTTATTTCTTTCTTATTTCAGCTTTCTCAATTTCTTCCCTCCTTCCTTTCATTCCTTTTCTGTGTTTTTAACTCTTTATTATATTATACATTGTCTGTACATCTTGATAGATTTTACAATATCTCAATTTTCTATCTAACTACTCCATTCTCAATGTTTTAATTTTACTATTTATTTTCATTTCTTATATAACTTCATATTTCTTTTTTATGTTTTACATTTTATTCTAAGATTCCCATTGTAACACTTATATCATCCTTTTTGATTATGCCTACTTCATCATTCCACACTTTGTAACGGTTTTTATTATTTATCTCTTAGTTCTTAGTCATTATTCTAACAATTTCATTTTACTTTATATTTATCTATTTTATTTTCTATTTTTTTTTTATTATTATCTTTTTTACCATCACTACTTATGTTTCTCATACCTTGTTATCTGGTTATTTTCTTAGCCCTGATGAAGGCCTGAACTTCAGGTCGAAACGTCGGCATATGTAAAAAATAAATATTATCATTTATTTTTGCCTTCCTTTTTGACTGACCAACCCAACTATTCTTCTCTTCATTATCTACGACAGTCAACCAACTACCAATTATTAATAAATTTATGTAATTTATTAATAAATAATCACATATATTGTATTAATTATTCATTTTATGTATTTTCCAATTAGTATTGCCCAAAAACGGTCTTGGTCTAGCACTCTTCGTCTTGTTCTAGCATTTTCGCAAGCAACGGTGCCCATCCCCACCGAGGTCGATGGCGCACGAATTCCCCATCTATAAAAAATTTATTATTCTCCTCTTCTTAAAAACAGTGCAAGCCTAATCACAAACAATTGCACTATGTCCCATGTTTTCCTCCTACTTTTCTATTTTGAAACTTTTCACACCAAAAATTCATAACTTTACCATCTCAAAAGTTAAAAATCCAATCAAAGTGTAAGACCAAGATCAATTTTGGGCAACACTACAAGACCGAGACCGAATGCGCAATACCAAGACCGAGTCTAAGATTGGCTGTTTCACGTCTTGGTCTTGGATTTGGGTAACACTAAATACAACCCCAACCAACTTTCATAACTATAAATTAAGTTTTTCAAATTTATGTCCCAAATCATCAGAAATGTTTAATTAATTTAATATAACGTTTGGATTTTGTGATCCCTCAGAGACTCCAGGCCTCGTGGACGTTCAGCCAGTGGAGATGCTCCAGGATCAAGCACAGTGCATCCTCGGAGACTACGTTCGCGGAAGGTACCCTCGCCAGCCCATCAGGTTCGGAAGACTTCTCCTCATCATACCCAGCCTGCGGTCTGTTCGGAGGGCGACGGTAGAGCGGCTGTTCTTCAGGGAGACCATAGGCGACATCCCGATCCAGCGTCTCTTAGGGGATATGTACCTCATGGAGAAGACTTACACGTAGAAGGCACACGCAACGATAACTCGAACTTCGTTATATATTTCATCTGATCTACAAAGTAGTTTCATTTTATCAACTATTCATCGAGTAGATTTTCTATATTGGAACACTTCTCATGTATATATCTGAACAAGTTCTCCAGCCCTGATTACAAGAAGTCTTTTAAACACAATATTCAACTCAAGAAAACAAAAGATAAAAATCATTAAAATAATTAGCTTGATTTGGGTTGTCTATGTCCTGACGATGCCTGAACTGGCGAAACGTTGACCCAATAATTCGTATCATGTGCATTTTGAAACTCAGGGATCGTTTTCTAGTCATTTGAAACGATTAGCTGAATGCAAACAATTCAAAGAAATCATATCTCATCAAAAATGCAGTGTTAGTCAAATCAGTGGCATATCCTGAGGAGAGAGGGCGTACTAGGCACCCCAGATCATTTTTTTAAAATTTTTTTTTAGGCTTCGATAACACTTTTTTTCTTTAATTGAATGATAACTTTTTTGTAAAAGAAAAAAATATAATTAATAATTATTTCTTTAATTTTATGAAAACGATATTGGTTTTTAATTTTAGAATACTGGGAAACACCACCCTGAGTCTCAAATAGCATAAATATTGCTCTCGGCACTAGCGGATCCAGAATTTAATTTTTGGGGGGGGCTTCAGCCCGAAGGATTTTTTTTTCATAAACATAACGATAATTAATTTGAAAAAAGAAAGAAATAAACTAACTCATGTGACATGGAGTCTTAGTGATTCTTGAAGTCATATTGAATGTAATTACATGAACAATAATACTTTAAGACATAGTTTTTAATATTTTTTTCTATAAAACATGGTTATATTTTACCATTTTGGGGGGGGGGACTTCAGCCCGAAAGCCCCCCCGTAAATCCGCCTGTGGCTCTCGGTCAGTGTAAGCTGCTCCAAGTAGTCTCAATAACTAACCCAAGAGGTAATTATGCCTATGTACAATATCAACGAAGACTTCCAGACGAGTAGCAATAATATCAAAAGTCAAATATGTCATTTATCTCATGGACATGATGGAATATCATTCCAACTCATGGAGTTTTTTGGTATTTATTTATCTCTCGAAAATGTGGAAGATGAGTTTGTTTATATAAACTAACAAACGGATATTTATACGTCAAAATGAAGAAATGCTTTTCAAATTAAAATAATAAGGTTTTTAAATTCATGCGACATATGACTTTTCAATCAATGAATCATTCTGGTCTATGACTATTCACCAATACGTTTTTTTTTTTAGGAAACCACATTTTGACGGGATTTTGAATTTTTGAGGGGCACATTTTTACAGAGTTATGAATTTTCGGATTGAAAAGTTTTAAACAAGGAGACAAAGGGAATAAATGGGAAACCCTCAGAAAGTATAATTGTATATGATTTAGGGTACTTTAATTTCTAATGTTTTAAAGAAGAGAAGAGCAATAAAAAAATATCTTGAAGAGGAGAGACTTATGTGCCATCGACCTTGGGGGGAGGAGTACTCCTGATACTTGATATCCACAAAAATACAAGAATGCAATAATATAAGAGTTGAATATTGAATATATTAATTTATCCTTTAAGAAATGGTAAAGGAATGGTTTGAAACATAAAAATAATACGATGTGAATCGGACATTTTGCACAAAATATAAATCATTTTATCAAATTGAAATTCTAAAGAAAATTTCAAGTTGATCTAACATAGTATTAATATTCTGTGTAAGATGTCTCTAATCATTAAAATTTCTTTGGTTATCTATCTTAAAGTTTATATAAAAGATAAAGAAAAACAATAAAAACAGTTAATGATGTAATGTCTTCTATAATTTTATAGGGACCTTTTTTATTGGTATAAACAAAAGCCTATCTGTACTCAAGTCACGCGTTCAACTAACCTGTACACCGTATTTTATTACGAAATCAATCTTTATGAGTAGTAATAGTTTTCAATTAGATAAATAATTATAAATCTGTTGTAAATAATCAACTATATCTTACTAGTCTTATGTGTTATTAAATTAACATTATGTGCATAAGAGTTCATACAAGAGCAGACTTAATCATTTTATAATGAATCTACAAGCGTTAAATACTGTCCTTCACAATTTCGGCCAATCACAAAACTATTGATAACACATATCAGCTGTTAACTTATTAGTCTAAATGCAATTGATTTTATAATAAATAAATCCTCACTGGACTTCTCAAGTTTGATAATAAAAAGAAAACTAAAAGATAAAAATTGTAAATGTTCGGTATGTTCATAAACTCAACAATGGCTTTGGAAATTCATCAGATCGTTTCTAAACTCATCGTTGGAATTCAACGCGTCCCTTTATTCATCTGACGACTATGCCGTTCCAACTGCTTTTGGGTTCGATGGATTCACAAGATTATAATCTTAGTGTTGTTATTTCTCAATTTACTTAACACATTTATATTAATTTTACCTTCTATATATATTTAATTCTGTTTTCATATTTGAAAATTCAGTAGGATGGTGTTTTTTTAGTTTTAATGTGTTTTGTAACCTTCAAGTGGTAGTTAACCTTCCGCTGGAATCCAACAGGACGTTCCTAAACTCAGCATAAATTCAACAACTTTCCAACGGAACTTGATATAATCGATTAATGGATTCCACCGATGATATTAGCGCTGAGATAAACTTGCCCATTTAAAAAAAATAAAATAAAAAAATCTGTCGTGAAAAAAAGGGCAGAAAAGCGTATTTTTTTCATGTAAATTAATGGCTTTTTTTTGTTCGAGTGCTTAAGAGGGTTATGTTCACACAAAAATATCACTTTGAAAAATCGCTTCAAGATTATTTTGAGTCTTTTTTTTCTAGCACTTTTTCGAGAACACGAGTTTTTAAATTCTCCTATTTCTCCGAACATTTATTATTTTTATTTGATTTTGTTTTAAAGATAATCTCTTACAAAAGTCAGAATCACAAAGTACTGAATTCTTCTAAAAACATATAAAATTTGTTAAAAATAATTTTGTCCTATTTATTTAAGTTAAAAACACCCAGAAGGATTTATTTTTATAAATTAATATTTGTCTATGCGTTCTTAGTTTTGAACTTCTTTTTGATAAATTGTTCTCTCCTTATTTTTTACTGAATATATCTAAATAATACTATAGTATTTATAAATATTATATATGAGAATATTATTTATTAAATTGGACTTCTATGCAAAAATAAGGAGTGGAATTTTTTTTTATTTCACCGATATTGTGAACGATAGGAGAAATGCTTTCATATATTTGGTAACATCATAAACAAAAAAAAAAAAAATTTTACGTCTAAATAGATGTTTTTCACAATGGTGTGCTAGTTGCATTAAAGTGTATGTAGTTTAGAAAATAAAAATATTGCGAAATTTAGTAGGGTTTGACAACTGTAATGGTTGGATACTTTTCCTGTTTTTGTAGATATTATTTCTTCTTATGTATTTTTAAAACCATTAGTGTATAAAGTTGTAATTCGATGTATTATAAACAAATTTAAGAAAATGTCTGTGATAATATAGTATAATGTGAATTCAAAAATGCCAAAGATGTAAATAAAATATATTTATAATTAATTATATAGAGTAGACGGAAAGGCATTAGATATTGTCATTATACTGTCATTATATGTCTCACTCTTATGTGTTACTGATGTATCTAAATATATTAAACGTTTAAAAGAGTAAATTCATTGTGTCCATTTAATATCATTTACTAACATTTTTGTACCCAAAATTAAGGATAGAATATAAATTTTGTTTACGCTTAACTAGGTCAAAAAAAAACAAGAGTTTCTTCGACAGGTAAGAGAAGAAATTTTGGTTGTCCGTGAAGTATTATTGGTGCCGACGTTTCGGCCCAAGCACGTAGGTCATCATCTGGAAATGTTTCGAACATTAAAGTATTTTTAAAAAACTAGTGTGGTGCGTGCATCACACAACTTTCACTCACCAACCTCTTTTTAGCAGAAATAAGTATTTTCAGACAAACGAGAAGTGAAAGTAAAAAATTGTAAACGATATATTGATTTATATTTCATTGTGGATATTTTTATCTGTTTAAGTACCCTTATGTATACAAAATTTAATATTTATATAGCTGTTATCTATACAATTAAATATTAAATAATACCTACGAAAACATTTAGGAAAAACGCATATGTATATGTACATAATATTGTCGGAGTCCGTATTATATTAAGCTCATGTCACTGTGGAAGACACCATCAAGCAGGCGAGATTAATTATAAATTATAAATAATAGCTTATTACAAAGAAGATGAAATGCTGAACATTTCCCGCGCCTACGGTATGCAGGTCCGATTTTTAGCATCTGAAATATTTTAATCCATATGTTCAACTAAACTTATCATTTGATTTTCGGCATTATTTTTTCCTTTTCGCCTCCCTAACACGGCGACGCATTAAGATACAATTTTAAATTATAGCCTCTTACAGAGAAGATGAAATGCTAAGAAATTTCTTCCCTTACAGTATGCAGGCCCGATTTATATTTTCTGATATATTTTAATCCATATGTAAAAATATTATAATTAATAGACTCTAGCCGACTTTACCTGAGCGTTAATACCGAATGAAATCTGACGGATCAATCAATTCACTCTCAACAAAAAAGTGAAAAACGCGCTCAAAGCAGTTTTCACTTCAATAAAAATGTTTAGCAAATCATTTTCGGATTCATTTACAATGAAACTTGAAAAATGTTAAGTGTGCCAATACTTTTTTTGATCAGCTGTATAACGAATAAAACAGACATTTAAGTAAATACAAAGTAATTAAAAAAAGAGAAGAAAAACAGTACCTTATTGATCATTACTGGTGTATTAACGGTAATAAATTATTTCAAAATAGCTAGTGGTTTTTTATTCTCTCAACAACTTTTAACACTTATAACACATGATAAATAATTATAACAACTGAAATCAACGAACTTGTAACATACGATACATATAATAACCTCTCTCCCAATGTTACCAACACTACATCACTTTTTTTTTTTTTATTATACATTTAAAATAAACATCATTAAACATTAAAAAAGAACATAATATTTTAAGTAATATCCATTTGTTGGCGCCCTTAATCCATTCCTTCAGTTATTAATTTCATTTGTTGTCTTTACGTCTTTTTTGTGCTTCTGAATGCTATCATCAAACTCATCCCTTTCTTCTTGTGTTCCTTCTGCTTTCATATTGTTTGGCTGTGATTCTTCTTCCCCGTCCTGTTCAATTATCTTAAAGAAACTACTATTTCTTGTGACTCGTGAACCCGATTCAGCCTCCGCCGTCAGTAATGAGCCTTTAACTTCTTCTGCTTTATAAGGTTCAGAATGAAAAATAATGAAATTTATTCATTCTTGATACCTTTCTTATTTTTAAAACTACTTTCAATACTCCAAGTTTTTCTGCCACTTCCTTACTCCACAATGATAATCCTTTCTCTTTAATCATGAAGACATCAGTTACTACTGTGTTTGAGTTTATAGAAATATCTAAGTTCACTTTCCTTAGCGCCGTTAATGTATTCTCATTATCATACGCCCATAATCATTTACCTTATCTGTTCTAGAATGAAATTTCACTCCCTTTGACTTTAATCTATTTCAGGATTTGAGATCCATAACACAACAATGTGGACCTGAATCTATCTTCATAGGAGCAACAACACCACTCATTAAGCAGTTTATCATAGTATTATCCGTGATAATCTTGTTTACACGATCCATCCTAAATATAGAGGAATCACTAAAACTTGTTTCATCTTCCTCTCTCTCAACTTTTCTTAAAAATTTACATTTACTTTTTCTTCTTTCATTATCCTTGAAATAACCATTGCTGCAACAGTTGGCAAAATGTCCTATCTTATTGCATTTTTTACAGATAGTTTTTAATGCAGGACAATATTTATCTGTGCTGATATGCCCCTGTTTATTACATCTAAAGCATATAATAAGACCAATTTTATCTTTTAGTCTATTTACCTCGAAAGTACTTTTCCCTTACTATTCAATTCTTTTCATCTGTTCTAAAGATAATTCGCAACTTTTTGCCTTCCTTAAAGCATCGTCTGAAAGGATATCACTTACTTCAAGTACTTCTTTACGCAATTGAGAATTAGAACATTTCTCAATCAATTGATCTTTAATGTTATCTTTAAGCATATCTCTAAAATTACAGTTCTGTGCTTGGAGTCGCAAGCGGAATACGAAACGGTTGATAGTCTCTTGAGCTTCCAGCAGTAATTTACGGAACTTATGTCATTCATAAATATAATTTGTTTTAAAATAACTATCTAAACTTTTAACAGTATCTTCATAGGACAAATCGGTTTTGGAATCTAACTCATCATTTGATAGTGAGAAATATAGTTGCAGTAAATCTACACCTGCCATTGTTAAAATCATTGCCTTTATTCCTTTTGCATTTACTAAACATTTTGCTTGAACAAATAATTGAAAGATTCTTTTCCATTCTACATTACGACCCGAAATATTCATTTGTGGAATGTTACTCAATTCCTTTTTAACCCGCCATTAAGAATGTATTTATCTCGTCAACAATTGTACTAACGGTAATAAATGATAAGTGAATTATTTTAAAATAGCTAGTGTTTTTTATTCTAGTCCGTGGCACACACCCCTTTTTATCGAATTATTAACATCCGCCTGAAACTTCGTAAGTCTATTTTATTTACGAAAACTCTTGTAATTGGGGCGTTTTTAATCTGGAGGGGGGCAAACTTTGTCTACTTAATTAAGTAATAAAAACTCTTAAATACCCATTTGCTTATTACTTGGATCGTAAGATAATTTGATCACAAAATCGAGAAAAAAGGAGGGCTTTAAACATATTGAGCCATTTTGCGTGACCTACACCTCCAAATTTTCAAAACAACGAGGTTATATAGTACAAACGGCTCAATATTTTTGAAGGCCACCTTTTTTCTCGATTTTATGATCAAATTATCTTACGGTCCAAGTAGAAGTACTATAATACTATAGGTATTACAGAGGTATATATTTAATTTTTTAGGGGATGATGTTTTTTTTTTTTTAGGCACTGGTACACTATCAAATACTGGTGCTTTTACCCTAATGCTAAAGATTGCTTCGCAATGAAAAATTAAAAAAAAATACTTCTTTAAACCTAGCAGAGAAGTAGCGAATTATTTTAATCAAAACCCAAGAACTTTCTTCTTCATTAGAGATAACGTATTACCTTATGTATTCGGTCTGGGACTCACCACTACTGGCTAGGATATACAATATATTGAAATATACTTAAGCAAGGTCTTTCGCCATATATTTTTTCCTTTACAATAATAAATTATTGTGTTCTGTCGTATTTAGTGACAATATCTTTAAGTATGAAGCATCTTTCAAATCCAGAAATGTTTACTGTAACTTAGAGCCTCTAAGTATCTTGACAGTTTGATACTCTTTGGAGACAATCGATATTCATATTATCGAGTTGTGTAGTAAAGAACGTAAACAGTTTGAGGAGTTTGTGAAGGGATCCACGTGGTTTTGTTTTTAAAATTTCTAGCACTCAACCGCCATGGGAAAGAAATCTAAGGTTAGTGAAGATACAGAAAATGACATTAGTCAAGTCACCGAAAATGAACCAGCAGCTGTTACTTATGAGGAGAGGTTGAAAAATCTGAATCCCATTGCCAAGCCTTTAGCCGGCAGGAAGCTTACCAAAAAAATCTATAAATTGATTAAAAAAGGTAAGATTTCATTAATTTAATTATATAGTTCTTAAAATAACACTATAACATATAATTTTCAGTTTTGTTTTGTTTCTTCCATTTATGTTTATTAATATAAATTCTTCTTACAGCCTGCAAGGACAAGAGTTGTTTTATTGATGGCCTGAGACAAGTTCAGTTGAAACTAAGAAAAGGAGAAAAGGGGTATGTACATAATTAACTAATAAATTATAAGTTTGAGTTATTACTGTATAGTCGATAGGTTCAATATCTAGAACCTGCTGACCCAACAGAGTAGCTGTTCTAACTCAAGGCTTAGGTAAGCCCATGATTGGTCCAGTATAGTTGTGATTATTGCCATACCAACCAAGGACCCTCTCAGTTCATCTTTAAATATTTTCTATAATTCCATTTAGTCCTGGGATGAAACGCTAATTTAAACTTTAAGACGCACTCCTGCTTTGTGAGTCTTCGTACATTACTATTGATATGATACTGACGTAGCACTAGTCGACCAGGCATGATACTTGTGAATGGTTACCTTAGTTTTTGTAAAATGTTTTAAAATATTTTTATATTATGATCTTTAGAGAAATATTAGTAGTTCTAGTCCACAAGAGTTCTGCACAGCTAAGGTTAACTAAAAGTCAGCTCATGCTGTATACGGTCAAGGGTATACAACTACTTAAATGGCAAAAAAGTTATTTGTTATCCAATCAAGAGGTTGGTCACCTTTTTTACTTTTTCAGGTAAATCTGGATAATTTCATGAACTAGTGATTATGAACTACTCTGTACGGAACTCATGCGAACTAGTAGTACATTTGTTATTAACATAGAACTGAATCATTTAGTGTTGGCTAGAGATTGGTAATAACTCTGATGACGACAAATACTGGTCCTGTCAGAGTATCAAGGAATATGACATATCACTAATTTACTTGGTGATTGAGTTTTTTTGTAAAATATTGATGTTTGGAGCTCATTGTTTCCCATCTTGTTTCTCTCATTGTATTTGGCTAGCTATGTAAACAATAGTGTCTCTCTTTTATGTGAAAAAAAGAGTACTATTTCATTGTTACATATATCTCCTTCAAAATATTCATTTAAATAATAAGTGCTCCATTTGGAGGTCGTATGAGCCAAGATCTCTTTGATCACACTTGTGTATGGAATACCAAAATTAGCCGGGTTCGTCTGGAAGAGTATAGAGATTGCCAAACTCTAGAATTCTAACTCAAGTAGGCATAATTTTCATTCATTGCCTTTACTTATTTTTACTAACAGTATGAACTTAACTATACTTAACGCTCAGGTTATATTGTGTGATTTATTATCCAAATAAAGCATAATACAAAAATGATAATTACCTATTAAGCTTTCTGAAATATTTAGTTTAAATTGTAACCATTCATTTATCATTTGATTTAGATGGACAAGTTGTTTACATTTTTTTTTTTCTTTCAGATTAGTTATATTTGCTGGAGACGTTAATCCAATCGACATAATGACCCATCTTCCCGGAGTATGTGAAGATCAAGAAGTTCCTTATTGTTACACGCCATCAAGAAAAGATTTAGGAGCTGCTATGGGAGTCCATCGCTCAGTCGTGACCGTCATGGTGAAGCCCAAAGATGACTATTCAGAACTGTATGAAGAAGTGCTCAGTGAAATTAAGGCACTGCCTCTTCCATTTTAAATTTTAATAATCCCCTCTCCCCCCATAGACTATTTGTTGGGAATGTTTTATTTTATATAACTTGTTGAAATTTCATAGACTCCAACGGAACTTTTATTTTTAGATTTATAGTCATGTGTTAACTTTGAACTAGGTTTTATTCATCTTGAATTAAAATGTCGGCAAATTATGCTGATCATATTGTTAACTAGTGATTATACACCTGCATTTTTTTATACTTGAAATGTAATAGGTTTCGTTAATTTTTTTTTTTTTTGTAAGATAATATTGCTTATTATAGAAAATAAAATTCTATATTTTATAATTGTATATTATTTGTAATTTTGAATAAATATGAATTTTATAGATTATTCATTTCTTTTTTGATTTTCCATCTCATTTAAGACCATATTTAGGAACATTCTCAAGAAAGATTATTAACTATTTATTGACCATTTAATTTCAATGCCCAGATTTTCTTACTTTCTATTATAAAGGTAGCCATAGCTACAAACAAGGCTTGAAACCTTTTAAAAAGTTCCATTTTAATGGTTACTTTATAAAACTTATTAGGAAAAAAGTATTAAGAAATTTTTTTGTGATTAAATTCTAGGTTTATGGTAAAAGTTAAATTTACATGATGGGTTTAGATTAGTCATGATTTATCTTAAAGGTATTACTTGATCCAAATTTGATGTTTGAGTAGCTAATAGCTAAGAATTAGTCATTTTCTTGGAACGATTTCATGATTTGTTAGAGAAAAAGTTCTTACAAATAACAAAAAAGAAAATAAAGTTACCGAAACTGATTATAAATAAAAGTTGAAATTTGATTTCAATCCCTGGTTACTAATGAATATCTTAAAATTTTACTGTTAAATTCACCTTTAAGCTAAGTTAATTCTACACCTATAGTGAACTATGGCTTCGTAAATAGTTATTGTAGCACCTTAACAATGGAAAACATAAAAAGTCAGTTTTAAACCAAAAATATTTTTAAGGAAAACTGTGTGTAAAATGTAACTTTTAGTGAAGTGTTTCTACTAGTGGATCCAGGATTTAATTTTGGGAAAGGTCCAAAGATTTTTTTTATTATACTTACGTATATAATGATAATTACTTTCGAAGAAAAATAATGCAAACTACCTATACGAAATTGTGTTTAAATGGTTCTTGAATTCCTATTAAATGTAATTTCACGAACAATATTATTTATAGAAATAATTTCTTAATATTGTTTTCTGTTTTGGTTGTATTTTAGTAGATCCGCCTGTGGCTGATGAATGTTCCTGAATTACCTTAATAAATAATGGCTAACTCCTAAAGATATCCATTTTAGTTTAACCCTTAGAAAGGTGTTCCTAATGGCTGGCCTTCAAGTTTCAGTTTCTTGAAGAATCTCATTTTGTTCAAGAAACAACTTTATTTTAATATTTCATATAACCATATTGTTTGAACATGTTGGAAATTTTTCTATCAAACTACGGCAGGCTTTTGTTTCATTGGGTAGTGGTTAGTCCTTGTGTTCATTTCGCAATTGCTTAATTCCAATCAAAATGTTAAGATGGATCCAGGAAGAAGTTTTGAAATTATTAGAGGTTATAACAAACCATGATTGATTCTTAAGTATATCAGCCTAGTGATGTGAGATTACCTTGCTCTGCCACTCTTAGAGGAGGAATATGGGAACTATAAATGTAGTAACTATTATTGAATTAATTAAAATTAATATAGCCACAAGAAATGAATCCATCAAGTTAACAACTTTCTATGTGGACTCCTACAAAACAAGCTCTCCATTTAACTAGAGGTTAAAAAAAAAAATAATGCTTTAGACTCAATTTCGAAACTCAGCGCTGAACCCAATCCATCATGCTATTTCTAAACAACGCAAGACTAAATAGAATTCATTACATTGTTTTATTCATCAACTGAATCACAGTTCAGCAGTTTCATTGACTTTAGAGGTTGAAGGACCTGCTTTATGTAACTACAGTGTTGTTATTTCTTAAATTACTTAACATATTTAAATTCAATATCCTTTATATCTATATTTATTTCTGTTTTAAAATTCAACAATTCAGTACATAAATGTTGTTTTCTTATACTTTTCATATGTCTAGTAATTTTTTAGTATGGCTAACATAATGCTGGGAGGTTAATAAACCCAGGATGAATCAGATAAGATTCCTAAAAAAGAATGAGTTTAGGAAATTGCCCTATATTAAATAGCTAAAATCATCTACAATGCTGTATACTTTGGTTTTTGAAGTGTGAATTATACTGCTCAGAAAATACTGTTCCATAAAAGATCTTGACAACTATTAAAAATTCTATTTAGAACTAAGGCATTGCTTGCAGTTTCCTTAAAATGGTAGAAAGCAGAGACCTCCAAGTACTGCAAGAATGCCTCAAAGCCAACAAAAGATATAGTAGATATTATCTTTACGGAAAAAAATTGAGTACAACGGTGTTATTCACCGTATTTTATATATCGATTTTAAAAAGGCTTATGATTCTATTGACCGCCAGAAACTGTATAATATTCTAAATATAAGTATAATATTAGTAAATCCATTCAGGATGTGCTTGACGGAAACACTCAATAAAATTAGAATCGGTAATAATTTATCTGAAAAGTTTTAAGTTTATGTAGGTTTAAAACAGGTTGATTCCCTTTCACCTGTCCTGTTTGATTTAGCATTAGAACATGCCATTAGGGAGGTAATGAGTACCAAAAAACAGTTGGATCTGGGTGGAACAACCTGTTTTCCTGTTAAGCGAAGACACGGAAACTATAAAACTAAATATGACAACGTTAATGAAAGCCGGTACAGAACTAGGGCTCGAAATAAACACGGTTAGCTGCAAAAATTGCAATATTGCTGATGATATCAATATAGAAGGTAATATGTTTGAACAGGTAGCGAAATTTAAGTATCTAGGGTCTATGATAACTAGAAAAAACGAAATTGAAGAGGAGATTAAGGTTAGGCTAAAGCCAGGAAAAGCTTCTTATTTTTCTGTGACAATAAACTACTTAGCTTGTCCCGGAATTTAAAGACTAGAATCTATAAAACCATTACCCTACCTACAATTTTTTATAGTTGCGAAATGTGTCCGCTTACATTAAGGGATGAGCAACGTCTTAAGGTTTTAAGTATTGCGTATTCGGATCGAAGAAAGATGAGTTAACCGGAGAGTTCAGAAGGTTGCACAACGCTGAGTGGCGTGAACTATACCCAGTTAATATAATTGAGTTGATTACATCGCGGCAAATCAAATGGGCTGGTAAATGTGTTGGGCTTAGTAATGAAAGAATTCCTAAAAGGTTGATATTTGCTGTACTGAATGATAAACGTCCGAGAGGTAGACCGAAGCGAAGGTGGGAAGATTACGTTAAAGCCAATCTGAAGGGATTGGGCTTGGACAGTGAGGGAGCTGTGTAATAAGCGATTGGTGGTGTCAGTATTGAACCTCCGGGTTAACTAAGTCTTTTATTATTATTAGTTGGAAAGAGGCAACTTGTAGGTATAAGCTCACGAATTTGAAACATGTTGACATATCAGTAATTAGGAGCCAAAACTACCAATTTCAAATTGAAATAGATTTGGCATATCTTATTATTTTTTTTTCATTTAAGTAGAATAAGGGAACAGGGATTATTATATAGAAAAAATGTTAACTTAGTTTTTATAACATTTTATATTAAAAATTATCATACATTCCAAAAATTTAGAGCTATCGAATATGCTAACACAATAATAACCCTGAACTTTTAAATACAGTAGTTGAAAACAATTTTCCTCCAGAATTCATACTAAAGTACTCCATTATAATTTTTCTGACTGAACAATTTGAAAAATTGGTCCTTTATTTTATAAATATGACAGCTTTCGTGGCAAGAAGGTTGCTGACGACGACACAACTTAACTAGAAAAGTATATATTCGAACAACGGAGAATGTCACTTAACACATCAGTAATTATATATCTGAACTACAGAATGATATATATTTATTGTTTTTATAATCTTTAGAGATTAAATTAACGAATACATTATCATCACAAATCTATTTCTGAAACTTTGCTAGATTGTGTATTTGTTATTCAATACACATTTCTTGGAAAAATATGAGAAGATCTCATTTAAATTATCTATCCACATCTTTAAATGAAATTGGCGTGCAATTAAAATTTAAACCCATTATTAAAAAGTACTCCTTCAGGCCAGCTGTTGAATCCAAGAGTTGCCTTATATTTAACTACTCCTTCACAAATATTCTCTGACTAAAGCCTAGCTTACACAGTGACAGTAAAAAAAAAATAATAGGTATAAAACAGCTGATGTCATGATTATTTAGATGGCATTTAACAGAAGGGAATCAATCCACATTGCACATGTTTAGAGTAAACAATTCAAAAGGCCTTAGAAAATCTGGAAGCTTTCAAATAAGTATGACATTGGTTTATTGTAAAGTCATAAAACTACATTTTACAATATTAAAATGACTAAGAACTTTGATAAATTTTCCCTTAGTGAAATTAGAAAATTGTGCGTTTGTTTTAACTGTATCTGATGTATAAAAGGGTTTGTGCCATCTCAGTGCACTTAGTTTTTTTTTTAGTCTATTAATGAGATCGAAATTCATAAAAATGTATTTAAGTGACTTTTTGCGATAAAGCGATGATATTTTCTTTTGTATCACTAACCTAATTTATTCTACACTTAATCCATCCCAAAATATTACAATTACAGTTCAATCCAATACTTACTTAATAGTTCGACATTAGTAAATCCAACAAGTTCATGACTTCTAGGCACGAACATTTTGACCTGGACATAGAGGGAAAGCAACAGGAGTTATTTTTTCATGAAAAAAAAATATATTCATAATTTTTGTCATAAAGTTGTAGTTTCTGTAATTTATATTTTATAATGTTTTCTAAATAAATAATTATCAACAAAACAAATTTATGAGTAGGATTTATTTATTTTATTTTCATCATGTACCTTTTATATTTTGTATCTTTTGTAGCCCTGATGAGAAAGTGGGTCGAAACGTTGGTGTAACAATTAAAATAATATTTCAAAATTTAGTATTTGAACCCTGACCAATTCCTTCTCATATTATATCATGGTCAACCATCTCTACATCATTATGAAAACAAATTTATCTTTATATTATTTCGAGCTTTATTCCTTATTATACAGTATTTACTTTTAGTAATCCAACAATTTTATGGTTCCATGTACATGTTTGTCGAATTATCAAGATTGAAATCTACATCAATAAATTCATCAAAAATTTATGTCATTGTGGTTTGATTATTTTATTTTTTAAATCGAAACGTCATTTTATTTCTAAAATTGTTTTTTAAATTAAATTTCTTATCGAAGATAATGAAACAAGAGATTGTTTTGGTTAAAAATAGTGAATACTAATTCGAAGCAACCTCAAAAACATTTTTTGTGGAATGAGACCCTTCTACTATTTTAAGAAACCAACTCATCATAAAAAAAAAATAGAGTAACTTAAATTCAATAACTAATTTAATGCAAACTAAATTAATAAAAATAAATACTAAATTAAAAAACAATAATTGCTAAAAAAAATAATATAATTTTTAATCTTCATACAAGAATTTAAAAATATAAAATGGACAAAATCAATGTCACATTAATTGAAAAAAAAAAATATATATATATATAGTGTGTAACACACTAGATATAGGAGCAGTATTTACAATACAATTACCTTACATTTAATTAGGTAAGATAAAGAGCGACAGTCTACACGTGATAGTTAACGAGATGGTAACTGTAGTTACTACAGTATCAACTATCAAGAAAAAGCTGATAGTACAACAGTACTTCCAAGTCAGTCAATTTCATATTGTCATACAGTTTATGACAGAAGTAACTAGAACTGTCACCGTGGAATCGAGGCTTAAGAAGAGCATATGGTATCCATTAAGGCATCTGATTAAACTAGATCACTTTATTAAAAAAACTAACCCTATCCCAAAATTAGTTTAGTCCAACACTGACAGGCTTAGTCTAAAAATAGGAACAACCCTGGACACAAAAGCAGGCCTAAAACGAATATTTTTAATCATTTATGATAGAAGACGTAAATTACATGAATGGAACAAAAACTGAATTTTACATAATATTAAAACCACTTGAAATTTTATCGTTAAAAATTTATTTTGGACAAATCAAACTTTAAAAACATATAAATTAATCCTACTAATAAATTAAATTAAGGTATAATTCTAGCCTTTCCGAGTTAGAATGACAGACAGATTAATTTAATGTCATCAAATGACAAATCTTCAACATTCATTGTTGTTCTGATATACAAATAAATTGGTTTTTGGTTCATCACTGTTTTTTTTTCTTCTTTTTAATAGAGAGAAATCCTTTTTAAAATATATAATGATTCAAATAAAATTTAGATCGACGGATTCCACTCTGCTTTCCAAATCCTCTTCTTCGTCTTCTGGCAATGGGTTTGGTTTTGAATCGATGAGTTCCGATCTAGGAATGTCTAATTTAGTCCAAGTACCAGGGCCTTGCTTACGCAACTTTATTTCAATTTTTGATGGAGTCATAGAGACAGAACTGTTTCCTACATCCACAACCTAAAAACAAAAATAATAAATAAAAAGTCAGTTTTTAGTTTACAAAGAAGTTATCATTTGCTTGTGTTATTTCAAAACATGGCAATAAATAAGTAAAATGAATATATAGGTATGTGAAAGTAAAAATCTGATACAACATGCATCAAACAAATTTCACTTAGCAACCTTATCAAAGTTGAATAGATAATGCTTTTTCATAAAATAATTAAACAAAATAAATTAAAATAAAAATCAATATAAGGTACTATTTCGTTGGTTACGCCCAACACAACTGCTAGTTTTAAGTGACATGGTATCAAATCACCTTATTTTTATATATAACTTGAGATGAATCTCAACTTACTTTGTAATAAACCCTCAACTTAATTAATATGGACTTAAAGCTTAATAAACAAGAAAGTTTTACTAAAAGTGGGGTATCTGTAATATGATTAGAGGGTAATACAAAAAAATTGCGAATAATGCATGATTATTTGAAAACAGAATTTAGATTAAAAAGGAAGGAGATGGTCCGGTTAGAAAAAGGCTAAATAGTGGTAAAACTATTTTATTGAAAGCCAACGTTTCGACCCGACTTTGCAGGTCTTCATCAGGGAGGTGTGTTCCTCGAGGAGTTTCACTTAGAACCCTCAGTTCTGACCGCAACCCTGGACCATCTCCTTCCTTTATAATACAACCGTCAACTATTAAATATTCAATAGAATTTAGATTAGTTTATCTGCTCAATAGTCCTCTTTAAATGGTTTAAACAAAGGCAAACTCTAGTTTCATTTGTAAGTAAATTTTATCTAGTTTGCTGTGAAGCACTGGCATAACATTTTTTAGTTATCGCTTGCTATTAAACAAAAAACGTGACTTAGTTTAAAAAAAAATCTTAAATTTTCAAATATTCTGTTGAAAACCCGACCATTGTTTATAGAATTTTTTTTAATAGCTGTTCAGGTCTGCTATCAACTCTATAAATATTTCTCTCTATTTACGGGACATCTTGAATATTTCATATTAAGTGAAAGTAAAAAAAAGAGCCAATAATTACTTTTTAAGAATTTCATCTGATATTTATTGGTTTTTATTTCTTTCATTTTCTCAATCGCAAAATAAAGCAAGGTTTCTTTTATTTTATAACCTCATCCAAACGTTAGTATTAGTTGAACAATTTAATTTTTTACAATTGAAAAAAAAAATTTGGTGTGCCCAACACACAACTTTCACTTATGGCTCTACTTTGAATAGAAATTATTTTCTGGCAATGTTGGGCTATTATAAACTTTTTGGAGTGCATTTTAAACAAATCTATAACTCAAAGCTTACAGATAACAAATCATTAAGACTATTAAAATTACCAAGTCAATTAATTATATCGACGGTAGGCAATAAAATCTAGTTACTCCATCTGCTTTTATAAACCACACAACTTCAGTCTCTGAGCATTTCAGTTGACAGAATGACTAACTCCAATTTCAACATTTTTGAGTAATGTCATTTTAGTGATATTTCTAGTTGAAAAAGTTATATCTATACAGACAGTGAGTAAGTTGATTCCAGAGTAGGTGATTGCAGTGTTGAAATATAGAACTGTGAATAAAGATATAAATTTTGCCACTAGAAACATCACTAAAATTAATAATAAAGAATGTTGAAATTGGAGTTAGTCATTCTGTCAACCGAAAGGCTCATATATGCCTAGAGAGGTTTGAAAGTATATCTGAATATTTAACCTATAAATGATTATGGATTGTAGGACTATTAGTTATTAAATTGTTATTTTCCATTGTAAAGTTTACAAAAAATGAAATTACCAGATTTTTATTGTCTGCCATGGATAGGTCAAAAGTTGTCACACTAATTGTAAGAGGATTTTTTTGGGATAAAATGTTGATAGATACTTAATTATTTAAATATAATATCATATCTAGAGTTATTAAAGTACAGTAAATGTATTTAAAGTTATAAACATATCCATGAAATATTTCTATATTTCACTTCTTCTTTCACACAAGTACAATGAAATAGTATATTAAACAATGGCATTGGCTTGATTCGGTGGATTTTAAATATTTTTTTTTTTTAATTTAGAAAAAATTTAAAAGTTTACATTTAGTAAGAAAATTTCATTTAATTTCCTTGGAAACATGTGATTTACGTTAAATAATGTTAGTTTTCTGAAATTATTATTTATATTTTTTCGTCACTCTCCGTTACCTTCTACAACTTTATTTATTTGATATTATTTTTTCTAAAATTCTCCGCTTTCCAACGATATATTATATGTATACCTTCTGACTGTTATTTCTGGAGATTCATTTTCAACCTGGATAAGCACTATTCTTTTTTTTCTCCAGTTTCCAATTATCATATTCTTTTAAACTTTATGTTTAGTCATTTTTTATAGTTAATATCAATAAAAGAGAGTTTTTTTTTTTAAATAAATCATATTAAAGGTACTTTAGAGGAAGGTGTATATCAACATTGGGCATTTAAAGTTACATGAATGGGGATAAGAGCTAAATGATATTAAAGCTTTATTATATAATGATGCACCGAGTTCAATCAAAATGGTTAGAACCATTTTTGATAAAATTGTTAAAATGTGTTTCACCGTTGATATAAAGTGGCACTTCCAGTTAGCTGATTTTAAGGAAAAAGTTGCTAAACATCTAATGCATATACCTATCTCAAATACGTAATATCAGTTCCGTACGACTTTTCGTTTTTGAGCTAGGCTGCTAACATACAAACACACAGACCATTTTTTGGGACTTGGTCATTTCAACTCAGGGTACCTCAAAACGTCTATTTCCGTTGAAAACTCAGATTCAAAAATTTCCTCGCAATACTTAACCTCACTATATATTACATATATAGGTAAGTGGAAGTAAAAAACGATGTAAGAAATATTTCACATAATAAATTAAAAGGAACTTACTCCCCACAATTCTAAATCTTTTGAAAAAGCTCCATTTAATTCAGGAAAATAAAGTGACATTTTCAATCTAATAGGCGAAAGTTCTATTAACGATGAATCTGGATCACATTTTTTCCCGAATACAGACACATAAACAAATGTGCCAGTTTGATGCCAGTCCATCCTGCATTTAACTTCTCCTTCTTTCAACTGAAAGCAAATGAAAAAAAAAAAATAAATAAATTTACATAAAATAATATGGTATTATGTAATAATATAAAAAAAAAATATGAAATAATATAGAAACCTTCTTTTTAAACCATGTGTGGGTTCCACTGGTGCAGCCAACTTGCGCAAGGAAGGTTTCGAAATCAGTGGTTCTCTTAGTGCAACACGTCCAAAACTTAAGACCTTCGTGGAATACAGGATACCCAGGATGATGCGTACAAGTTTCATTGACTGACTGGATACCTTCATATACCTAGAAGAGTCATTTCTATCAAATAAAAATAATATTTAAGGATAGTGAAAATTAATTAAATATACAACGGTTCTTATATACAACCAAGTGACAGCAATTTGAGGCTTGAAGTTTAAGATTCACATCAATTAATAGCTTCTTATAAGAAATGTAAAAACCAAGAAACAATTGTAAACATTACAAATATATTAATCTAACTAAACTAGATAATAATGACTATAATTTTTTTTAATTTAAATTAGTTACCATTAAAATAACAATACTTCAAATTAATATACAATAGTTTATTATTTTCAAATATTTATACATCAAAAATTATTAAAATATACTCAAAATAATCCCCTTGAATGACTTTTTTTACCACTTTGGTTGAAAATTTAATATAAATTTTTTTTTAATGTTTATCTTTATAGACAATTATATCATCATTTATGGAACAAATGGAATTATCTGGATTATGCATTTTTTACGAGTTATCAAAAAATCAAATAAACTATAATGAGTTTCCATGGGAACATAAGCAGAATTTATGAGTAAAATTTAATTGACAGGTATAATAATTTCATAAAAAATCATATTTTTACTATATCTTCATAAATGGTCATATGAAATCTCTCCTTGGCAACTATTTTGAAATAGAATAGTAGAGTTGAGTTATAATAATCATCCTAGAATGACACGTGACTTTGGCAGCAAATATATAAAATCAGAACAGTAATCTCAGTGGAAAGCTGCGGACCAACTGGTAATCTTTTTTTTTTTGGATTTTATGTATCTAAAAAAGTAAAACCTCAAATTTTGAAAGGAGTTCAAATTTTATTCTCTCCATTGATTAAAAAGTTTCATTAACGAAAATAACTAGCAGAAAAAATAAATAAATAGTACATTTATATTTATACAATTACACTTTCAGAAAGATGTTTTATAAAACAAGAAAAAATGTCTGAATTTTTTTTTCTTCTGAATAATATAAAAATGGTTCAATGAACTGAAAATACAAGTTTAAAATAAAGTAAGAACATACTGCTTTGCAAGAATTGTTTTTACACGTAGTTCCTATCGGAATATTTTTGCTATTTTCCTTATCTTCATCGTTCGTTTCACTATCTTTTGTGCACCCACTTAAATTCGAAATTGCATCTCTGAGAGCTGGGGATATAACAGGTTTCAAAACTACCTAAAACACAAAATTTATTTTATTTAAAAATAACTTTTATTATAGAAAAACACAGATGTATTATAAATTATATCAAACATGTTTTACTTATTTTACAATTAAAATTAATTCAAATTAGAAAAAATGAGCTAAACTTCGGGAAAAAGTAAAAAAATGTAATGTAAAAAAAAAATTTCTTACCAAAGGAGTTTCAAAAGGAGGTCTTTTAATTCGATTGACTATTGGTACAGGAGCCTTCACTTCAATCACTTCATCAGCTAAAGACTTATCCACAACAGGTTTTTCAGGCTCGGGTGGTTTAACATTATTGTGAAACGAAAGTGTACAACCCTAAAATACAACTATTTAAAATTACCTATTTGGTAAAAAATAATTTCATATGATGGTAAAAAGACATTTTTTTAGATACCTTTATGTTGAGAAATTCGGTGAAGTCAGTACATTTCTTTTTACAGCAAGACCAACCTTTGTAGGCATCGTGAAAAACAGGATGGCCACTATGATGTCGACAAGATTCTAGAAACAAAATTAATTAGAATTTCAATAATTGGTAAAAAATGTAATACCTTAAGTAGATAGTGTATACATAAAATCATTTAAAAATTTTCAAAGAACATAACTGCATAGATGGGAATAATCATAATAACGATTATGGTTACAGTAATCATGATTAAGTAATTATGATTACAGCGATCTGATTTCTAATTACAATTTTAATGAGGTAATTTTGTGAAATTTTTGCTATATTGAATCAAGCATAAAATAGACATGGCCATTAGGTTTTACTTTCAATTGTAATAATTTATTTCCAATTTTGCTTGTCTCTGTATAATTGCTGTTATAATGAACTGAAATTTATCTAAAATAGTGTAATTTTTTATGATTTATAGATATCAAAATATATTTGTTTATCACGATAAAGGCCAACTATAGACCACACGTATTTCATTTCTAGGTTTTTTTTAATTTTTGCCCATATTCCTCTCTCTATTTTTTACTTTCTTGCTTCTTTTATTTCTACTACAAGAACCTTTATATTTTTCTCTATTTATCCTTATCTAGATTATCTTCCTCTATGATACCCCTTTTTTCTTTTATTTGTTTCAGATCTTTTTATATTCTTCAGTCCCATCACTTTATCGAATATTAGTTTGTTTAACCTATTGTGATCCATTTTATTCATATGCCTGAAGAACTTTAATCTCCTATTTCTCATAGATGATTCTAAGTTTTCAATATGTTCATAAAGCTCACTATTCTTTTTCAATCGGTGTACATAGTAATGTAAATATTACATAGTGAATTCAAGAACTACTGTCAAAAATGGACAAAGAGTAGACCATGACAAAAATGAATGGAAATTCATAAATGTTATATAAAAATTTAATGATTGCTTTTATATTGTATTATTGAGGAATGTGTGCTTAATTGTCTCAAACCTTAGCTTTTGATAAATTTCAATAAAGTTTTTAAGATGAAAATCTTTGACTTTATTTAACTAGTTAATTGTCAAAATAAAGGATGTGATGGCTGAGCACAGTGTCCTGGCGTGTCAACTTCTGAACATTGTGGGTTCGATTCCAACCTGGATCAGTTAATAATTACTTCTTGACAGCTCCGGGAAATTAATCTTGACACTCTCACTATGGTGAGAATACCACCTCAAGGTAGCTGTCAGGGGTTCACTAAAAGGATTATAAGACCTACTTACCAGACTAGTCCCCCCTCCTACAGCAGTAGATAAATTTTACTTATGGTTGTTTTTGATAAAATTAAACTTAAACCACATGAGGTGAAAAAAAAATTGACAAAATCTGTCTGTTTAAGTTAGATTTTCACATTTTGGTGATGATGTAGAACTGGATTCAACAATTTTGAGATGAGATTTCATCATTTCAATTAGCTCATATTTTTCAAGGAATAGCTTCATAAATTAACTGTACAAACTAGTATAACTCTAAACTAATGAGAGAATAAAAGATAGTTCAGAAGACTTGGATCCTAACATTCTACTGCTTAAAACATGAGTGTCTTACTGTAAATATTTAAAATGTCCACCAAATTAACACACTAACATCATTCTTGCACTAAAACAAAACAAATATTTCTTATAAGAAGATATTCACTCTAAGAAACAATTACCCGCAGTATTTTTCGATGGATCAAATTTTTGACCACAACCGCTATTGTAGCATAATAACAACTCCGACATTTATATAGGGTTTTTACGCTAAAGTTAGAAAAAAATTATTCGTGATTAAAAAAGTTAAAATAAAAACCCTAATGTCAAAAACTGTTAACCTAGAATTAGGTACTAACAGGTCACGTTAGGAGCTAGAGCTCTTCAAATGTGATGTATAAATCTAAACAAAGAGGTAACAATTTGGTTTGGTGTAGAAGGTCTAGAACATTCTAGTCTAGACTCAGATAATTTATTTTACATATCGCTGTTAGTGCAAAAGGTCGTATGTAACAGTTTTCTGTTTATTCTACTTGAGTTAAAGATAACATTTTATAGTCTAAAATTGGGATAAGTAGTCTGTTACTATGGAAAATAGCAGAAGGAAATAAAATATGAAATTACACTTATGAATCATAAAGAAATAATCAGTATTTATGATGCTCTTCTAAAAAGAAACACAATTTCGTATAAGACATTTTGTCTTGACAGTAGCGGTATAACATTAATTTAATTCAATTATACTTTGTAATGGTCTTTTATCTTCTTTTAAAACAATAAAATGATTATTATAGTACCTTTTTTTTTCTCTTCTTCCTGCATTGCCTTATAGGTTCCCTTTCCTTTAGTGGATCCGTATTTCCGTGGATGGCTCGATCTTGATAAGACTGACCGAAGGCTCAAGAGCACCAGGTTTTTCAATACCTTGCTCATTATTGGAAGGAGGCAAACGGGCCTGTATGATTTGGCAAGTTGCTTGTCCTTGTCTCTTCCTTTGTAGAACAGTCTGACATCAGCAATTTTTCAGTTTCTTGGAAAGTACCCCCTATCCAGGCAGTCACTGAGAATCGCAAGCAGCCTATTCTCTAGATAGGGAATACTATTCTTGAGCATTGCCGCATCAATCGCATCTAAACCTGGAGCCCGGCCAGTCTTTTGCCTTTCCACGGCACTACGGAGCTCCCAAATGTCCCATGATGGGCACAGGTCCGTCCCAGGCGGGTATGCCGTGGCTCTTCTCACAAATGTATGGTCATTATCATTCTGTGATGGATCATCCCTGTGATATGTCTCTTTAAAAAACATCTTTGCTGATTCCTCCAGAGTGGCTGCCTGAGTGCCCCCTTGCTTCAGGGCAGCAATAACTTGCTGTGGGGTCAGTTTTCCCAGGGCCACCCTGTATGGGATACCCCAGGGATTCTTCGCTGACTCTTCCTGGATGAATTCAGCGCATGGTCTTCGTTTCTGTGAGCGCACCTCATTCCGGTATACCCTAGCCATAGACCTGTACTCATCACGAAGTGTAGCACACCTCTTCGTTACTACACCTCTGATATGACCGCTGGGCCTTGTAGGGCTCTCTCTTCAGTGTGGTCTCGACCACCATGGGACAGTTCTATCGTTTTTCGGTGCTGGAGGGATTCTTCCGCGGCTTCCCTAATGACTTCGGTAATCCTGGATACCTTGTAATCTAGGTCATCCGTATTGTTAAAATCCGCGGGGTCCCACTCTTCATCGACTAGCTTTCCCTCCAGCGCTGACCAGAAGAGGCTCCAGTCTTCTCTTCGAGTCACATATCCTCTGTCTATACTGTGGGAGCATCTTGCGTCCTGTATCAGGTCAAATGCAATTGCGTTGTGGTCGGAGCTCGTTTCCGACATGAGGGTCCAGTCAACAATGTGTCCTATCAGCGTCGGGGAGGCCAACGTAACATCTATCTGGAGTCCCCGTGGTCCAGAGATGGTTGGAGTGGCAGAAGAGTCATTAATCACTACCAGTTGGCCTCTTGAGATGCATTCTTCAAGTCTGACACCCCTCCGATCTGTTCTACTGGAACCCTAGGCCTTGATCCAGGAGTGCAACAGTGTTTCAAAATCGATGTGAACCATAGCTTCAGTTTGAAAGTGGATCTTTTTTATAAGGGGGTTTAAATTAAACAGTTTTAACAGCCAACAAAGTTAGACTTTCATCTATTTTTTTTTTTTTTTTTAGTTTACATAAAGTCAGTTATGTGCAATTATGTATGAAAAACTTACGAAATTCTGACAGTAATCAATTAAGTATTGCTTTCTAACTGTAGTCAATTAAGGGGGAGAAATGAAAGAACAAGAAGTAAAAATAATTAAGAACGATCTAATAATCTATATACGTATTTACAGTAGTATCAAATTACAATTTTATGGGGACTGGATGTACAAGAAATTATTGAACAGGCAGGATTTAAAGATAAGGAGGGTATTGGAGCGACGGATGTAGGAAAAGATGAAGTTCCACAGGGATGAAGATCGGATAATGAACGATCTGTCGAAAGCAGTGGTTTGGTGGGCTCTTGTATATAAGTCTGAAGACCGGGAAAAGGTATTGCGGGAGTGAACAGTGAATCTGAATTGAAGGAGCTCGGAGATGTATGAAGAACGGGGGCATTGGATTACTGCAAAGAGGAAGGATCCCAGGAAATACGACGGTAGGAAGGATATAGCCACATCAACTCTTCATAAAAACGGGAAACAGAGGCGTATCTTGAGATCCTGAAGATGAATCCTACAAAGCAATTTATAAAACGTTTTAATTTCGCCTCCAGATCCCAAAGACGCCTCCATAAACCACACAGTAATAGTCAAGGAGGAAAAATATTAAGTAAGTGACTAGGATCCTAATAGATGGAGATAATTTACACATTTAAGAGTAGAAAAGGTACAGTAGGAGATATGAGAAACATGTTTTTTCCAGAAAAGAGATTGATTAAAGGTTTTTGATGGTGGGATAAAATTTGATGGAATTGTCATGTAGGAACAGTTTTAAGGTGATTGGAGCTTACTAATATTGCCTTCTTCTGGGCATTTTTATCAGCCCCCCTCCTCAGACATCCTTCCAAATCGACCAAAAGCCCATTTTGTTATATCTGGGAGTTATACTTATTGTACCTAGATAAAAACTTACACAAATAATTGATATGACTAGCCAGCTGGTAATTTATGTAATTTAATATATTTATCTGGGGCTGTTGAATCATTTTTATGTTTTTCATAAATACAGGGATAGAGTTGATATAGCAATACCTTATAGAAAAAAAATGTTATAGACTGAATTAATACTATGTAGAGCATGATCCAGTTGCTTTGTTAAATTTCAAAATCTTGCATTATTCCTATGAACTCTAGTTTCAAGTACAACAAATAATGTAGATGATTTTTATTTTAAATATATATTTATTAGGAAGAATACCATAATTTTAAAAATATATATCAGAATAGATTTATCACTTATTTCTCCATTCACAGGTCAAAATTAAAACAGTGCTAATATTTTTGAATTATTATTTGTACATTTAAAGTTTTCTTATGCTCTCTCTCTCTCTTCAGCATATATCTGTTGGTAAATCCAATTAAGTTTGGTCAATGACTTTTAAAATTAATAAATTCTATTTTTTTTAATAGAAAAAAATAATAAAGCTTCTACAGTTAAATCTAATAATAAAGAATGGGTTGAATATTACAGATTGTTTTATCATAGCTTCATGTAATTTACAAGATGTGGAAAACAAAGACAGATCTTTATTGAAATTAAAAGTGTATTTCCATGATAACCAAAATTTCACAACTAAACAAATAACGTTTATTGGGTGTTAAATGATAACTAATACCAAATTTTCAAAACACATATTTTTAAAAAAATAAATAAATTTTGCCTGAAAATATAGTTAAAAATAAAATACATAATCTTGTTTTGCTGGAAAATTTATATATGTTATTTAATTTGTGATTGATTTCATTTTAGCGCATAATTAATATTAGTAATAAAAGAATTTTCTGTTTTTTTTTTTTTAGAAATAAAATTATCTTAAAAAAGAATTTCATCTAAATGAAAAATAGACAATGATTTTATAAATATATGTTTGAAAATGATTAAAATAGGACCAAAATGTCACAGAAAAATAAAATGTGGAGTAATTTAATACAATTTTGTTTTTAATAAGAAATTTTATTGTTTTATATTTCTGGGTAAAAAAAACGTACTATTAATTAACAATTTAAAAAAAATTGTGTATATCCTATTTTTAAATAATATATTATTTCATGTCATAATCCTGTTACAGGTCTTGGTCTCCTCTAACTGTTTCCTCCTCCAATTGTCACGGTCTGCGCCGACGCAGACATACCAACATGCTGTAGGCATCTCCTGCCACACCATCTAACCATCTAAGCCTTGGTCTCTTTCTTCTCCTTGTTCCATAGATTGGCTGTGCAAGCAATATTTTATGGATTGCTCTATCTGCCATCCTGGCAATTTGCCCTGCATATCTTAAACGCCTCAACACCTGTGAAGTAGGAGGCGGCATTGTTCGAAAACAATAGTTACTTTGCTGAAGTTTTCGTAAAGTTTTGGCTTCAGCTCCTTATTTTTTTAAATAATACATAATGAAATAAAAAAATAAAAAAATCAGTAACCAGATTAAAGGTGAAAATCATAAATCTTTATAGTAATAAAGAATGTATTTCCGTAATAACATTTCACAACTACAACAAATAACATTGATCAGGGTAAAAATATAAAAACTAATACTGAATTCTACAGTATTTTAGTTTAAAAAAAAATACAGTTTCGTTAATGAAAATTTCTAAATAAAAAAAATACTACTATACACATAAACCAAGATATATTCTATAAGTTTTTTGTTCTTGAGGTCTAGCATTTCTGAATATTTTGTCCAACAACAAAAAGGTATTCTCTTGCCTCAACATTTTCCTTCTCAATGCTCCAATTTTATCTCTGAAACCAAAATACTCTTGTAAAAATAAAATAAAAATATATTATAGCAGACGGAGAAATAAAGTCAGATGAAACATTTCTTACAAATGTGAAGTAGGAGCTGGCGTTGTTCGAAAACAATAGTTGCTCTGCTGAAGTTTTCGTAAAGTTTTTGCTTCAGCTTCTTTTTTCTTTTTAATTAGCCAATTTTTAAACATTATTTCATTTTCTTTTTGTTTCTGCCTTTCTTCCATCCATTTCTTTTCTTTTTCTATTCTCAAAGCTTTAGACAGTTCATATTTTTTCCTGAAAAGTAAATTATATAAAGTACATTACAAAAAAACAAAGAATTAGAAATTCTATTGTTTAATTAATATATTATTCATCTTACTGTCTCTATAAACTCAGTAATATCTATATATAATATATATATATATATATATATATATATATATATATATATATATATATATATATATATAATTTCATGTAAATCATCACTGTTACTCTACATCCCCGATGTGTAGTAATAAACTAAGAAAATCAAATCAAGCCTAATTCAAGGCATTTGAATTAAATTTAAAAGAAAATCGTTACCATAAAATGTACTCCATTGGCTTCTGAAAAACTTAACTATACAGATTTGAAAATAAATTTGAATAATTAATACGGCTGAATATTTGTTTTCTTTGTTAATGAAACAAAGTTTTTGTTCGTGTTTGTTAATAGAATATTTAGTTTGTCTACGATTTTCCTAACCCCTAACTAAGGTAACTGAAAAAATTGTTTCTGTATTTTATATATATATATTTCAAATTATTTAAAAAACCAATAAAATGTGAAATATCTTTCCTGCAAAATTTACTTTTAAAAACTGGGATACTAAGTCCTTATTTTTTAAATATTATTTCATGGAGTCCAAATTTCTTTCAACTTATCATATATGTAATCCACTAACAAATCTATAATATTGGAGTTAACCGCAGATAAAATTTTCTTTTTGTCCAAAGCAGTGAATCTTACAAACATATAACAACGGTTTATGCATTACTGATTTTTCTTTCAAATGAAGTTTTCTTAATTGGTAATTGGTTGACTGTCGTGGATAATGAAGAGAAGAATAGTTGGGGTGCTCAGTCAAAATGGAAGTTTTCTTACATGAAGGAAGTTAGTCGACTGTTTTACATATCATGGGTGATAAATATTCAGGACGCAGTCTTCTTAAATTTTTTATTTATGCCAACGTTTCAACCCAAACATGTGGGTCATCTTCAGGGCATGGTTTGAGCACTGAGGGTGTTCAAGTACTAAAGTACAGTACAGTACAAGTACAAGTACTAAATACAGTACTTGAACACCCTCAGTGCTCAAACCACGCCCTGAAGATGACCCACATGTTTGGGTTGAAACGTTGGCATAAATAAAAAATTTGAAAAGACTGCGTCCTAAATATTTATCACCCATGAAGTTTTCTTAACCTTTTATTAACAATTGTTACCTATAATTAACATATTGATAGCCTTTACACAGAATAAGAAAGATTTTGAAAACAGATGGAGAAAAGAAACCAGAGAAAAAATAATAAAATTTTGAATTTTTTTACATGCTATTTTTTCAAATTTATTGAGCAGATTTTACTTGTGTTTAAAGAAAATCGATTGATAGACTCAACTGAACAGCAGTCTATCAACTGCCTCCTGCAGTACCACATGCCATGGCCTGATGAAGACCTGCAAGGTGGGTCGAAACATCGGCGTGATAATTAAAAATACTATTTTTTAAAAATTTAGTATTTATTTGACCGCACCCCCACCTCGCCATCTCCTTCTCATATTATATCACAGTAAACCATCTCTACTTCATTATTACATATATAGGTAAGTGAAAGTAAAAATTTGATGGATTTAAATGGAGCATGGAGAGCACTTAACATGGACTTTTAAAAAAAATAATATTATTATTAATAATAGTCAAACAATTTACAGATTAAATTTTTAAAAAAATAATAAAAAGGCAATAGTACCAAAACAAATAATAATTCAAACAAGTTTCCTAAATTCATAAATCATTTAAAATATTTTAAACATTTTTAAGAATTGAAATTAATATAAAACTCTACTTCTCTTTTTCAAGCAGTTGTTCTTTGCTGAGTCCATACTCTGATCTCAAACCGTTATAGGCAGGTAATTTCGTGATGACACCTATTTTACAACACATTCTCTTTGCAGGTGCAGTAGAAGGACGAAGATCGACAGCTGTAATTCTTTTTTTGACAGGAATCGGTTTTGATAAGGGCTTCGTTGCTGAAAAGTCTGATTTAAGATTTCTGATTACAGATACCTTATTACTGTTACTAGCCTCAAAAGTGATCATTTGGTCACTTAACGGTTCACTCGAGACAGATTTTTCTATTGAATCACTTTTTTCCAAAATTTCTATGACCTCTTTGACCAAATCATCAGTTTTATCTAATGATTCTTTATCGTTTATGCTCTTAATATTATCTATAGGGACTGAATTAATTAATTCATTTTCAGTATTCAAATTAATCGATTTTGTGAAACTCTCGGTTAACTCACTTTCTTCTGTTTCACTGCGGCACAGCACTGTTTCCAAAGAGGAAGTTATAGTTTCTTCGGTTAGAGGTAATGTACTATCTTCTACTTCCTCTTCGGATTCATAAAACTTGGCAACACTAGATTCTTGGTTATTTCGGCTTCCCCTGAAATCATCAGTATTTAAGTCTAAATCATCTTCATAATCATCATCAGTCAGAATTTCTTCAGACTCGATGGAATATGCAGTTGGTAGAGTCACAAGAAGAATTTTAGAAGGCTTACTTTCATGTTCATGGGTTGGTGGTGGTTTCTTTTGGGTCCCTTGACCTGGAAAATAAAATAAATGCTTCAAAAGGTAATGTTCCATTAGTGTTTTAATCAATAAAGTCATAAATATTATTAAAATTCAGTAAAAGAAAAAAATAAGCAAATACAATTTCAGCATTCATGCTATAAATTGATCTAAACTATTAACATTAAAAGTACAATAACATATATAAAAGAAAGCTGTTTTTAATAAATCAAATCTTGCCCTGCAGACTTACAAGATTCTTTGTAAAGAGTGATGAATGTGATCTTGACCCACCTGTTAACCTAACATAATACTTGTGAGCTAATACCAGTACTCTAAAATTAGTAGCTAGTGGTATCTATATGATCATTTAATAGTAAGTATCTTACTATGGTCTGAAGTTAAAAAAGAGAATCATGCATCTCAATTATTTCAATAATCAATTGAAATTTTTTTTTAATTTATGAAAAAATTAGGTTCGGTAAAATAAAATAATGATGACTTATATTGTGAATAGAATTAAATAATGAACAACCATTTGTATAATTAAATAAAATCATGTAGGCAGAGTTTGTCTTAAAAGTTTGAGTATAGGGAGAAGGAAGCTCACACAGCTTTCCCACTTGAATTCCATCTCCCAAACACCTCTCTCCAGCTCCACCTCCCCTCTTCACCATAGCAACCACCAATCTTAACTTCCGTGCCTTCATATCATGGAATATTGATTGACCAGTTTCTGTAAGCAGGTCTTTATTGGTCTTTCTTCTCCATGTGTTAGTACTATGATCCCAGATGGCTCTGATTAACGTGCGGAGGATTTTCTTCTCAAAATCTTTCAACACTTTTTTCTAGGGTGCTGGTTAGAGTCCGGGTCTCACAGCCATATATTAGAAGTGGCTTTATCATAGCAATGTACACCCTTAGTTTGAGATTTTTTGGGATTTCAATACCTTTGAGAGGGAGAATAAAGCTCTGTTTACGCTAGTTATACGCTGCTCTATTTTTGCTCGTTTGTCATTCATTGAAGTTATTGTGGAGCCGAAGTATTTGAATTTTTCTACTCTTGGGAATGATTTTACTTTTACACAGATCCAACAAATTATAAATACAGAATATAAATTAGCATATTGTTGTGTCCATAAAATAAAAGTACAGATAATGAAAAAATTCAATGTATCTGGGAGTACTTTGAGAATCTTACGACTAAGATTTTTAAGTGCATTCTATGATAAACCGGATTGGGAATGGAATAGGTGCTTGAAGGGGGGAGATTTGAAAGAGGATACTGACTTTGCGTGTCAAATATCAGAAGGGATAGAATTCCAGAGGGAGACGGCTTGAGTTAAAAAGGATCTGTCAAACGCAGCAGTTCAGTGAGAAGGATCGAGGTCGGGCGTACGGGATCTGATGGGACAGGATTGAATGGAGGATTTGAATTGTAGGATCTATCGTCGAGGCCTAATAGCCTGGTATAGGAAGGTAGCAAGGAAATACTGATGGTGGTAGGATGGATAAAGCCACTTCAACCCAGTGTCATACTGGGTAATATGCGTATCCCTTGAGATCCCGAGGATAATGTGTATTGAGCAGTCCATTACACGTTTAAGTTTGGCTTCGAGATCTCCTGAGTCCACTGTACACCATACAGCCATAGTACACAAAATGCATCTGTTTTTGAACTTAAAGTCTTTGTCAATTTTAGAGTTTCTGGTGAAAATATTTCATTTTAAAACTATGGCTTCAAACATTTCATAATACATGAAGTTGCAAATGGGTCAATAAATTAAACGTTTTTAGAATCTAATGCTGAATTACAAGAACCTTTGTGAGTATAAGAGCAATGAACATCACATACAATATTAAACTAAAGGAGAATCATAAAGAACTATTAATAAAACATCTGCTTAGGTTACATCCATTGCATTACTGAAAAAATTGTATTAATAACAATGAAATATAACTTAATATTTTGTACGATTCAATGTAATTAACACAACCTAGTGGAGACAAAGAATTTTCCGTTTCGAGGAAATAGAAAATACTAAAAAAAGCTTATTTACTTATACTGATAGTTACGGAAATTTTTTTTTTTTTTAAATTAAGTCAAGGAATGTTCTACTATAACTTTTCATTTCTTAGGTTTTCTTATCTATTAAATCTGACTGACAAGTCGGTTAAGGTCACATTGATCATAATTTAGACAGAATAACTATGGTAGCAAAGTGGATCTGAAAGTGTAGGGAGGAGACTGATCTCCACTTCATAAGAAATAAATTATGGAAAAAATTTGATTTATTGAAAAGGAGTCGGTTTAATTATTTTTCAAGCTAGCCTAGCAAGCCCACCCATAAACATAGACTTTCATACAGCTGCTTTGGAATTCCATTTACAATATGATCACTGTTAAACTTTTGATTCATCTGTCAATGAGACATTACACAACTAGACTATCAGTTATGCCTTTCTTCTAAAAGTTGTAAGGGGGTAGGGGTGATATTTTTATAAAAGTACTTTCATTTGTCATTTTCAAGATTGTTATTTATAAATTATTAACTGCAGGTGTACAATTATGAGTAAAACTGATTATTTGGAATTGAGGAGTAAACATTTTAATCTCTCAAAAATGATATTTTAATTGAAAATAAATTACTATGGATTGGCAAGGATTTGACATAACCAGAACTAAACTCTTGATGGCTGCATTTTCTATGAGCACCATTGCTTAACAGAAAACTTAAGAGAGGCAAGATCTAAAAATATTGTTTTTTCTTTTTTTAAACTAACTCAATATAATGTCTCATGAAATATTCACTAGAACCCGATGGAAAAGTAGAAATCATTGCCACCTACCTACAACCACATCCTCTTCCTCTAAAGCTATGGGATCAACGAACCGAACTTTGGGAATCCTTGAAGACAGGGCAGCTCTCTTCTTTTCTTCTTCTAATTGTTGATTAGCTTTCTTTATCCTGTCAGACATATTGTAAGGATTCGGAGAAGGCATCAAAACTGAACCACCAGGGCTCAGAGGAACTGCAAGAGAACATAAGTATGAATTTCCCAAATGAAATAAACAAAATAGGAAATAAATAAAAATGATGCAGACTTCCAAAGTCATCGTCGTCCTCCTCATCTAAATCATCGTAATCGTATTTACGACGGTTCTTGTCCCTGCTGTCATCTTGAGTATTTTTCTGTTTTCTTTTATTCATCGAACTTAATGCCTTCACCCTTTTTTCTTAAAAATATCTAAAAATCCCTCATCAAACGCGGATGTTAAAAACAAGACGATCCAGAATCTACAACAATGACTAGAATTTGAATTATAAATAAATAACAATACTATTATAAGCAAAAAAAAAGGTAATAAAATAGTAACGGTTGCCAAGAGATGTTATTAAACTTAGAACATAGCAACATAGTTCCATTTTATCTACTGCTATATAAATAGGGGAAGTTAATCCATTAGTGGTCCTTTTAACAAAACTGTTTATAGTAAGCTAGAAATTATTTTAATAATCTGGATTAGACAAATTCTCAACACAGAATAAATATTTAAAATTTAAAACAAACCTTTTTAATCATACAACTCAATAACAAAATCGATTTTTAAAAAATTGGTAAGTTGACAGCTGTAATAGATTGGAGGGGCAAGGAATTTTCAGAAGGGCTTAATTAGTCTTTATTTTGTAATTGTTTTCTTTCAAAATGTTGAAATATTAACTACCACGCAGTCATTAATCAATTTTATGAAATTCGTTATTTTATTTTTTAAAGTATATGCTGCTACTTTATATTAAATTTATTCAACGTTGAAGGAGGGGGGGCTGCTCCGTATCTGAACACGACTAAGTACGTTTTAATTATATATACATGATGCCGATTTTAAACCTGTGGAGGAGTTTTGTAGAATTTCTAAAAAGTCCAAAACAGCCCAAGTAAACATAGAATTGAGAATTGTTTTAACATTTATATTTATTTCTTTATTATTTAAAATTACCAACTTTATTTTACCAAAATATTTCAAAAATAATATACTATTTTTTTCCTGCGAATTCTCATAAAACCAGATTTTCTAACCCCTAATTGAGCCGGAAAAAGTCGTTTTTTCCGAAGAGGAGGAGGGGGGAGGGTCAAGCAGGTAATTTCGTTGCCTCTTTTTGATTTTCTCCTCCCCAACTCTGTATCCACTATTGTATGAAATGTATTTAGTTGATATATTTCGAAATAGATATAGATTTCAAGGTATGTTAATTCATGAATAGTAAAAAAATATAATATTATAATACCAATTCACAAGAAAGGATGTCAGGCAGAATGCTCTAACTACAGACCCATATGCCTCTCGCCAGTTGTGTACAAGCTATATACATCCATATTGGTGGGTCCCTTAAGACCACTAGTTGAGCACCTAATAAGAGAAAAGCAAGCTGGGTTCACACCCGAGCGTCAAAGCCATGATCACATTTTCATATGAAATATGGAAAGTTCTCAGAGCGAAGAACGTTCGGAGAAACCTGACAGAGGCGATTAAATCTATATATCAAGACCCCAAAGGAATAGTCAGGCTGAACAGGCTAGAATCAAATTATTTCAATATTGCAAAGGGGTTCAAACAAGGAGACAGCCTAAGCCCTTTGTTGTTCATGGATGAGGTGGCAATCATTTGTAAGAGAAAAATGGACAGAGCATTCCTGGGATGTTGGAATCTTAATCCTGTAGTGATACGGCTTATTCTCTTTGCCGATGATGTGGTATTGATTACGGACTCAGTGGAAAAGTTGCAACTGGCATTTACGGAATGGTATGAAGAGCTCCAACAAAAGGGATGCTTATAAATTCCAACAAAAGTAAGATCCTACAAGTTGGAAGAAAGAAAGAAGATATCCAAATATGCTGTAATGGAGGAGAATTAGAAATGGTGACAGACTACATTCCTGGGTACAGTGATAGACGGATCTGGGTAGGTAGACACAGAAATACCTAACAGGATTAACAAGGCAAATGCAGTTTACTACCAGACATGTAACACTGGTAGGAAAGAGAGAAGTAGGCGAAGATGTCAAGCTATGCATCTTCAAGATAGGATATCCACGGGAGGGAGAGGAGGAGGGAGGGAGAGGGGTTTCGGGTTGAAGCCTTCCTTCCCAAAACGGTAAAATATAACCATATTCTATGAAAATAATATTTAATAATTACCTCTAAAAGTATTATTGTTCATGTAATTACATTTAATAGTACTTAAAGAACCATTTAAACTCTATTTGATATACGTAGTTAGTTCCTTTCTTTTTCTTCCTAAGTAATTATTGTTATATATTTAAAATCAAAATCTTTTGTGCTCAGGTCTCCCCCAAAACTAAATCCTAGATCTGCTAGTGAGTATATCTACCCATACTTTTGTATGGAGCGGAGAGTTGGATATTAACAGACCGACAGGAGAGCAGAATCACCGCTGCCGAAATGAAATTTCTGTGAAGAATGATTGGAAAAACAAGGAGAGACTGAGCTCGAAATGAAAGGATTCATCAGAAACTGCAGACAGCCCCACTGAAAGATCTTCTAGAAACTCGTCACCTAAAATGGTTCAGCCATGTTATCAGGATGGACGACCACAGAGATCTACTAACGACCATAGAATGTGTCCCAGATGGCAGAAGACCTAGGAGCCGCCCTAGGATGTCCTATCTCGACTACATTGTGCGACCCTATAGGGCGAGGGAGAAGGACCTCCGACAGGCGAGGAACCTAACTAGAAGTAAGGAAGTATGGAATTCCTGGCTGAATGCTCCTCTACACTGAGAGACACTAAAAAGGGAAGCTAAAGAAGAAGAATAGTAAAAGATCAATTATGAAATAATCATTGGTGCATATCAACAAAAAATTGTAAACATTTTTAGCAATTTGCAAATAAAGTTTCTTTTCCTTCATAATTTATTCTACTGAATTTTTTTTCTTTAACAACTTTTTCCACCGAAGTTTCGGGATGATATGATTATGATACCATTGTTTTCAAAATTTTAGAGATTTTCTGAAAAATTGGTGAAAATTTGAAGCAAAAAAGTTGTATTTATCATTTGTTATAAAAATTCATATTTGAGGATTTATTGAGGTGCTAAATACAAATCTCAACTCTGTTTATTCTTAAAAAATTATCTGAATCCACTTTGCTCTTTCAGTAGGAAAAAATTGTTACAAATATACTAATAAAAAATAGATTTCAATGTTTTTTTTTGTTTTGTAGAGTTTAGTAAGCATTTATTTTGTAAGTTAATTGTATATAAGATATGAAAATTATACTGTATTTTTGTTTGGTGTAAATAATGTATGTAGCTTGTCTTATTGCTTATATATCAACCTACTTTAATTATTTTTCCTGTACATAAATTCTATGAACAAGTTATGTAAGTATTGTATGTAGTTTATATGTTGTGTAAATTAGTTTAAAATTAAGGTGTGGTCTTCAATTTAATTTTAGTAGTCATATGTTAAGAAGAAGATTTTTTTGTCACCACAAGACATAGCCTGCGAGACCTAGTGAAGGTCTCCATGTGGCTTGTACGCCAAAACGTTTGGAGACTCCTGCTTTATTGGAAGAAAAATTTCTCAATTAAATAATATAAGAAATTTTTATTTAAAAATTCTGAATAATGTTGATTTTATTGAGTTAATTGATATTTTTTTCATGGATTTTTGGAAATGACATCTTGTTTTAAAATGTGGAAACTTTTAACTCCAAATCAAATTTAATTTGTTATCAATGCAATATTCTGTCTTTTACTTACTATACTCTGATTAAGAATATAATTTGAAAATATTGTATTTACCATTTGTTTTTCCTATTAAACATAAATGGTGTATGTATCATTAGTAATGATTATGTAGTATCTATGCAGGATAATTAATGAACTTTTCATCATAAGCAGGAATATTGTGTATGAAGAGAAAGTATCTTTTTTTTGTTCAACAAACAGAAGAGACATGAATTTTGTAATATCTTAAAGATATATAAATTAATTAATCAGTTTTACTATCGTATATTATAATATTGTATTGTGTATATTGCTAATATAGTTTGTAAATTGAAAAATATTAGTTTTATAAACTAAACATTTACTTAACTGTACAATACATTCCATATCTATAATTCATTATTTTGTTTTTATGTATATGAATTTAACTTATGCACTTGTATTCTTTATTTAGTGAATATATATTATAAATGAGTAAAAATTAGTGTATATAAGTGGTTATTTTTATTTCTCATGATTGCTGTTTGTAATTTTGTAAAATATATAATAAATAAACTTGAGTAAAAGTTTTATATATTACAACCCAAACTTAACACAAAATAAAAAATTTAACTTCAGACTTTCATTTTCTACCTTCCTTTTCTTTAATTCAAAAAGAAAAATAATAAAGATAAATAACGATAAATTAAGTGATGAGGATATAAATAATGTAAAATAATATATATCTCTATTATTTATATTCTTACAACTCCCTTTATCCTTAATTTACTTGTATTATCTTTTTGTTATTTATTTCTGTCTAACCTATATATATTTATACAGGTCTTGTATATCTGATTTAATTTCATCCTTGACGAAGACCCAAAAGTTTGCATTGAGAGTTGTATTTCGCAATTTAATAATGATTGATTCCTGATTATTTGTTCCCTGATAAAAAACCAAAATAAACTATATTCAAAATATTCTGTAGTCTTAACAACTAGCACAAGATTAATTTTCAGATAATATTTTTACAATTTTAATATTTTAACTATCAAAAGATTTTAAATGAAAGCCAGTGTTAAAAAAAAATATTGAATGAGAAAATCAAGAATGAACTATTCCTTATGTACATGAATAATGTGACAGATAAAAACTTGAGGAAACTACCTTCAATATTTGGAAAACAAACTTTATCAAACACTATTAGTTTGAATTAGATATACATTTTTATAGACAGATATACAATCTATATTTAATAATAAATACAGAAATGAGCATCAGTGTTAGATTACAAAGAAAGAATGAGGTAAACTAATAACAACTCTTCACAGAAACACATTTATTTAAATAACACATTCATAAAAATACATAACAAAATTACAATATATCCATAGTATTTATAAATACAGCTTCCTCTTAATATCACCAGATGCATTCAAAACTCCACTTCATACACTTTAAAGAAATATATTTATTTGTTTTCGTCAAGTATGGTTTACCACATATACACAACACAACTATTACATCTCAGTATTTATAAATACAGTAAACTGTTGCCACCTCTAGATTCATTCAAAACTTCACTATACTCACTATAAATACTTTTGAAAAGCTAGCGATAAATAATTAAACTAAATTCTGTAAATTATAATAAAAAAAAATGTT